ATACATTAATTTATTTTTCCTTTCATACTAGAACCACACACATAGACTCTCACTATTTCATATTCCATCACTTTGCAATGTACATCTGTCAATAAACTACCCTGTGCGTGTTCATCCCCTGTGAGGGTTCATCCCCTGTGAGGTTGCCTTATTCCCTCTGACCAGGGCAGGTGTCAGTGGCCACAGACCAGCAAACAGGAGCGTCTCCCTCACAGTTGGATTAAACATGTGTTGTTCCTTATTTTTATTAAATAACATACAAGTTATGAAAAGCAGAAGAAAACTATATGTTCTACTTAGCACCTGTTTCCCTAAGAGTGTACAACCATAACCCACTCTCAATTGCAATTCAGTTCCTGTGATGTGTTGTGATGTGTTTAGTGTGTTGCTGTAATTATGTAATTTGTCATAGTTTGTCAAATGTGTTTTGTTAAATTAAAATAATTATTTAAATACAATTTCTAGTGGTATATTTCTCTTTCAAATCCTTCTAGTGGTATATTTGTCTTTGAAAGTTTATTCAAGTGGGGTCGCAAAAACCATCAAGCGCTATGATGAAACTGGCTCTCATGAGGACCGCCACAGGAAAGGAAGACCCAGAGTTACCTCTGCTGCACGGGATAAGTTCATTAGAGTTACCATCCTCAGAAATTGCAGCCCAAATAAATGCTTCACAGAGTTCAAGTAACAGACACATCTCAACATCAACTGTTCAGAGGAGACTGCATGAATCAGGACTTCATGGTCGAATTGCTGCAAAGAAACCACTACTAAAGGACACCAATAATCAGAAGAGACTTGCTTGGGTCAAGAAACATGAGCAATGGACATTAGACAGGTGGAAATCTGTCCTTTGGTCTGATGAGTCCAAATGTGATTTTTTGGTTCCAACCGCTGTGTCTTTGTGAGACGCAGAGTAGGTGAACGGATGATCTCCGCATGTGGGGTTCCCACTGTGAAGCATGGAGGAGGAGGTGTGATTGTGTGGGGGTGCTTTGGTGGTGACACTGTCTGTGATTTCTTTAGAATTCAAGGCACACTTAACCAGCATGGCTACCACAGCATTCTGCAGCAATACGCCATCCCATCTGGTTTGCGCTTAGTGGGACTATCATTTGTTTTTCAACAGGACAATGACCCAACACACCTCCAAGCTGTGTAAGGGCTATTTGACCAATAAGGAGAGTGATGGAGTGCTGCATCAGATGACCTGGCCTCCACAATCACCCCGCCTCAATCCAATTGAGATGGTTTGGGATGAGTTGGACCGCAGAGTGAAGGAAAAGCAGCCAACAAGCGCTCAGCATATGTGGGAACTCCTTCAAGACTGTTGGAAAAGCATTCTAGGTGAAGCTGGTTGAGAGAATTCCAAGAGTGTAAAAAAGTTGTCATCAAGGCAAAGGGTTGCTACTTTGAAGAATCTGAAATATAAAATATATTTTGATTTGTTTAACACTTTTTTGGTTACTACATGATTCTATATATATGTGTTATTTCATAGTTTTGATATCTTCACTATTACTCTACAATGTAGAAAATAGGAAAAATAAAGGAAAACCCTTGAATGAGTAGGTTTGTCCAAACTTTTGACTGGTACTGTATATATATATACAATACTGTTCAAAAGTTTGGGTTCACTTAGAAATATCCTTGTTTTCCATGAAAACATACATGAAATGAGTTTGAATAGGAAATATAGCAAAATGCATAGGAAATGTAGTCATTGACAAGGTTAGAAATAATTATTTTTAATTGAAACAATCATTCTGTCCTTCAAACTTCGCTTTCGTCAAATAATCCTCCATTTGCAGCAATTACAGCCTTGCAGACCTTTGACATTCTAGTTGTCAATTTGATGAGGTAATCTGAAGAGATTTCACCCCATGCTTCCTGAAGCATCTCCCACAAGTTGGATTGGCTTGATGGGCACTTCTTACGTACCATACGGTCAAGCTGCTCCCACAACAGCTCAATAGGGTTGAGATCCGGTAACTGTGCTGGACACTCCATTATAGACAGAATACCAGCTGACTGCTTCTTCCCTAAATAGTTATTGCATAGTTTAGAGCTGTGCTTTGGGTCATTGTCCTGTTGTAGGAGGAAATTGGCTCCAATCAAGCGCCATCCACAGGGTATGGCATGGCGTTGCGAAATGGAGTGATAGCCTTCCTTCTTCAAGATCCCTTTTACCCTGTACAAATCTCCCACTTTACCACCACCAAAGCACCCCCAGACCATCACATTGCCTCCACCATGCTTGACAGATGGCATCAAGCACTCCTCCAGCATCTTTTCATTTGGTCTGTCTCTCACAAATGTTCTTCTTTGTGATCGGAACACCTGAAACTTCGATTTGTCTGTCCATAACACTTTTTTCCAATCTTCCTCTGTCCAGTGTCTGTGTTCTTTTGCCCATCTTAATCTTTTCTTTTTGTTGGCCAGTCTGAGATATGGCTTTTTCTTTGCTACTCTGCCTAGAAGCTCAGCATCCCGGAGTCGCCTCTTCACTGTTGACGTTGAGACTGGTGTTTTGCATTTACTATTTAATTAAGCTGCCAGTTGAGGACCTGTGAGGCGTCTGTTTCTCAAACTAGACACTCTAATTTATTTTTCTTCTTGCTCAGTTGTGCACCGGGGCCTCCCACTCCTCTTCTATTCTGGTTAGAGCCAGTTTGCACTGTTCTGTGAAGGGAGTAGTACACAGCGTTGTACGAGATCTTCAGTTTCTTGGCAATTTCTTGCACAGAATAGCCTTCATTTCTCAGAACAAAAATAGACTGACAAGTTTCAGAAGAAAGTTATTTGTTTCTGGCCATTTTGAGCCTGTAATCGAACCCACAATTGCTGATGCTCCAGATACTCAACTAGTCTCAAGAAGGCCAGTTGTATTGCTTCTTTAATCAGCAAAACAGTTTTCAGCTGTGCTAACATAATTGCAAAAGGGTTTTCTAATGATCAATTAGCCTTTTAAAATGATAAACTTGGATTAGCAAACACAACGTGCCATTGGAACACAGGACTGATGGTTGCTGATAATGGGTCTCTGTACGCCTATTTAGATATTCCATTAAAAATCAGCCGTTTCCAGCTACAATAGCCATTTACAACATTAACAATGTCTACACTGCATTGCTGATCAATTTGATGTTATTTTAATGGACAAAAAAACAAGGACATTTCTGAGTGACCCCAAACTTTTGAACGGTAGTGGGAATATATATATATATATATATATATATATATATATATATATATATATATATATATATATAAATGGGAATCATTTTATGAGAAAACCAAAGGCATGTGCAACATGCCTCTCTATGTAAGGAATAATGGACAGTTGACCCATGGGGCGGCGCGCACAATTGGCCCAGCGTCGTCCAGGGTAGGGGAGGGATTTGGCCGGCAGGGGATGTAGCTCAGTTGGTAGAGCATGGCGTTTGCAACGCCAGGGTTGTGTGTTCGATAAAATAATGTATGCACTAACTGTAAGTCGCTCTGGATAAGAGCGTCTGCTAAATGACTAAAATGTAAATGTAAATGAGGTTGCTAAGTTACTGGTTGAAGAGGTATTGAAATGTGAAAATAGTGATCATGCACTTTGTTGACAGTCCCTAACTAGTTGCATTGACGGTGTTACAGGCTGCATACAACGTTGCCATGTGATTATGAAAATAATCAAACCTGTGCAATGTTGTCCACTTTTTTTATCTTCATAAAGAGCCTAACCTGAGGTACGTAGCTCAAATTGTTCGCGAGCTATTAAGTTCCGAATGTGTGGCGAATATCGAATCTCAAACCAACAACTGTACGCTACCACGGTCATCCACCCGCCTCATACAGCCCAGACATATTAATAGACTTGTCAAGACAGACTGAGTCTGGAGAATGAAAATAGCAGGCTTTTAAGCCCGTCTCACATCACTTCAAGAATAGAGTTCACCACTTTAATGTACAGGTAACTGCCAAAATAAAGGAAACACCAACATAGCGTCGTAATAGCGTGTTGGGGCACCACGAGCCGCCAGAACAGCTTCAATTCACATAGATTGTACAAGTGTCTGGAACTCTATTGGAGGGCTGCAACACCATTCTTCCACGACAAATTCCATTATTTGGTGTTGATGGTGGTAGAAAACACTGTCTCAGGCAACTCTAGAATCTCCATTAAGTGTTTAGTTGAGTTGAGATCAGGGGTGTATTCATTAAACCAATTCTGTTGCAAAACGTTTTGCATTCTGTTGCAACAGAAACCGTTAACTCCAAACAGAAACGTTTGCAACGAAAACGAGAGTTTCTATAGGTCCCGCCCCTTTTATGTTTGCTTCCATTTGGTTCTTAAACGGTAAATGGTTTCCATTGCAAGATGTAATGAATACACCCCTGGTGACAGACACACACACACCTATGCTTCAGACCCCTCTTTCAAAGTCACTGAGATCTCTTCTTCTAGCTTCTAGCCATAGTAGCCAAATTAATTTTTATACATGACCCTAAGCATGATGGGATGTTAATTGCTTAATTAACTCAGGAACCACGCCTGTGTGGAAGCACTTGCTTTCAATATAATTCGTATCCCTCATTTACTCTCGTGTTTCCTTTATTTTGGCAGTTACCTGTACATCATACAGTAGGCCTACTTAATTTGATTCAATGCTTATTACATGCTGTTTATTTGTACAAGAATAGAATATGTAAGGTAAATGGAATAGGCTTACTACTGTATAAGATGTTAGGTTATTTCATGGTTGTTTCAGCGTTGTCAGTGAACGGCCAAACAAAATCATATTTGAAAGTAAAACACAGTAATTTCACATTTACAGTATAGGTCTATACACATCCAGGCCTAGGCATATAGTTAGGATTTTAAACGCAAATGTTAGACGTTAAAATGGGATGTCCAAGCATTAAAAATAGATCAGCCCAGATGTCGCTCGGTTTGCAATCCCTCTGCTGCTGCTAAAGCTTTATTATCCTTATGTAAGAGCTGCAGTGACTGAAGCTACAATTTTCTGCAAAATCCTCCGAACACAGATCTACAGAAGAACAATTTGTTATTTTTCAGGTAAAAGTAGTCTACAACAGGGGATAGATTGCGGTGATAATATTGTGTAGCCTACGCGTCATGTTAATGTAAAGTGAACTACTGTATATCCGCCTATAATTTATGTGATTTTTTTTGTCACAACACTTCCGGATATGCGGGCGCTGGTTTTCAAGGAGAAAAAACATTTTTGCCGAAACTGGAAGTCCGTCTTTTAACAATCGGTTATAGTTGCAGAACGACTGAATGTTTTGTTACATGGTCACCGTACCAATTTTGTTACATTGTTGCTAGCCTTGGGAATGCGGAAACATCCAAATTAGTGGGCTTTTGAAGAGATTATCCCGATACAACAAATACTGTGGAAACTGTTTTTTGACCAGTGTATGGATTTTTTCTTTTTCACACTTTCCACCCATAAATACCGATATGCAGATAGTCTTTTTATTTATAGTTTCTCTATTTTTAACGAATGGTGCAACAAAACCGCCTGCGGAGGTTGTAGATCCTGAATATGGTGAGTGGAGAGAGCCGAGGCTAACTTGATTTTCAATTAAACAGATGTCATGAGTTTATGCGACTCGAGTTGGGGATGGTGAAAAACCAAACATCCCACACACATAACAGTTGCCAAAGAATACATCATAAAAGTATTTTCCTTATGGAAATAATATCTGAAGGAAAAACATTTTCAGACTTTGCATAGGAGACTATATTCAACCACATGTACACGCCAATATAGCAATCATGGCAGCAATACTAGTAGAACTACTGGGTTAACCACCCGAGCACTTGATGTGTTATGAGAAAACTGCCACAGAGTTATGAGAGAACTGTTGTGATATAATATAATAAAATGGAACAGTTTTAGGTTGGTATATGAATGTTTTTGTGTTGGTGGAATTCAGTCAGGAAAGTGTGTTTGTACTTATCAGTTCTGTTATCCTCTGCCTTTCTTTCAGACTTTCTCAGTTCCATGCTTTCAGACTTTGAGGTGCTGCCCCTCGCCAGTCTCCAGACTCACTCGGTCCGGCGACGGGACCTCCAGACACAGACCCACGTGGAACGACATCTCAGCTTCACTGCCTTACAGAGGTAGGAACTCCACGGCTGTGTCCCTATGGGCCCTGGTCAAAAGTAGTGCAGTTTATAGGGAATAGGGTTCCATTGGGATGCACATCAAAGGTCAATGCCTCCGTTGCACTAGTCACTGATCTTATTAATGAGCTTTGTGATTGACTCACTCTGTGTCTTACTCTGTTTGTGTGTGCTAGGCATTTCAAGCTGTACCTGAGGACCAACACGGAGCTGTTCACAGAGGACTTCAGGGCCGTGTTCGTGGATGAGGATGGACAGGAGGACAGTTACGAGGTCAACAGACAGAACTTCTTCACCGGCCATGTCATAGGTAAGACCGACACCACATGGTTGGGCTCAGAAGCCACCAGACTGAGGTCCATTAAGGGGCTTTAAAGTGCTAAATTGATTATAAAAGATTGTGCCCACCAGTATCATATGGACTCATCAACCTTAGACCACTTTTGAGGTCTAAAAACATTTGGCTAACATCTGATTTTGGAGTAAACTATCACTTTAACGTCTCTTAGTGCCTCAGGAATTTGGCTTTGTCCCGTGTTTATATTTTGTGGTCTTTCTCAGCATAGTGTTTTACTGAGCGTTGTCCATTTGAAGGGGAGGAGAACTCCAGAGTGCAGGCGCATATCGATGACAATGACTTCTCGGCACACATCCTCACTGACGGAGCAGAGTACAACATTGAGGTATAGTATCACACTATTTCTACAGCAGATTGTGATATTACAACAATATGACAATCTACTCTGAAATGACTCAGTGTGTGTGATGAATATTCTGTATATAATCCACCTGAGTTTATAATCGTATAAAACCTTCCTTCCTGGGCAGAGCCGTGGTGAAGTGGTAACACTCCTGGCATATGTCACATATAAAAATCTCCCCACCGGAGACCGGGGCTCAATCCCTGTGCCCACCCTTCCCAATGTTTCTCTCACCTGCCTGAATCCTCTTCTGATTACCCTAATCCTTTGTTTTTTTACTCCCTTTCCTTCCTCAGCCCCTGTGGAGGTTCACGTCGGCGCCCCCCGATGGCCGTTTGTTGATATACCGCCCTGAGGACATAAGGAACATCAGCCGACTGGCCTCGCCCAAAGTCTGTGGCTACGTGAAGACTGACTCCAATGACCTGCTGCCTGAGAGCATGAGATCAGCTAGACTGGAGGAGGAAGGTGAGGAGGGTGAGTATGGGGAGGGAGGGAGGGAGGGAGGGGGGGAGGTAAAGGTTGAGCAGAATTTAACTCAGTTGAGTTAATCTATTATTCATGCTAGCTTAATTATAAGGCAGCTATAATGGCACACCCATGATGATGACGACATAACTGCAGGGAATATGGCTATGGTGTGTGAACCAAATAACTCTTTAGAGGAAGCACTCAGTAATCTCAGCTGCTGCTGTTAATTGTATGGCATGAGATGTCTAATTGCAATATTCGTGAAATTGACAGCATGAATCTGCCCAAGGCTCTACTTATGGCGGTGCAGTGTAGAAAATAAAAGTGCTGTGTAGTTCAAGCTTGACAATGTCTCTATGGCGCTCACTGGCAATGAAACAGTATCTCCTCTCCACTCCTCCACAGAGCCCCTGGTCAGAGAGAAGAGACAGGTCCATGACCACAAGAAGAACACTTGTCCTTTACTCCTGGTGGCTGACCATCGCTTCTTCCAAGAGATGGGCCGTGGCGAGGAGAGCACTACCCTCAACTACCTGGTGGGGGCGCTGTTCAGCCAGATGCTATGTATGTGTCCCAGATGGCACCCTATTCCCTATGTATTGCCCCTTCTTTTGACCAGGACTTATAGGGCTCTGGTCAAAAGTAGTGCACTATATAGGGAACAGGGTGCCATTTGGGATGCATCCTATGTTGTGTGGGGTATTCTTTGGCTTGATGGATGTGTATGCACGCATGACTGTAAGTCGCTTTGGATAAAAGCGTCTGCTAAATGGCATATTATTATTATTATTATTATTATTATGTGAAAACACAATTTCTCCCTGTTGTGATTGGTCGGTCAGATCGAGCTGATTGACCGCGTGGATGACATCTACAGGTCGACGTCGTGGGATGACGAGTATAAAGGATACGGCGTTCAGATCCAACAGGTGAGCTAGCTGAGACAGGCTAAGGACGACCCATGATATGTTCCACTACCACCTCTCAGATGATTGTCTTTTCTCCCCCTTTTTCCCTGTTTTATTTCTTAAGGAGAATGGAGCCTCGTCCTCCTTCAGTATTTTCAGTTTATTTACACAGTTTGGAATGTAGATAAAGAAATATAGTTGATGAGGGGAGAAAGTGAGGAAGTGGCTGGGGTAGGATTCCATCCCATGTCGCTCCTGGACAATATGTGCTCAGTGGACTGCAGCACTACCGCGTTGCTATGCTGCCGGAACAGATGATCACTGTCTGTTCCATGAGGTGTGATTGATGATAGATGGTTCTTCCTTCCCATCATTCTCAATCTCTAATCTTCCATGTAGATCATCATTGAGAAGCTCCCCACCCGCGTACCTCCAGGGGAGGCCCACTTCAACATGAGGGGAAGTCCCGTAGAGGGTAAGGATGTCTGGGACGTGAAGAAGCTTTTGGAGGTGAGCAGCATGTTCAGTCATCTGAGTAATGACATAATAGTCATATACTGTATGATAATAGGCCATCATTTTCCCTCATCGCAGCAATTCAGTGTGGACATAGCAGACAACGCGTCCAAGGTGTGTCTGGCTCACCTGTTCACCTACCAGGACTTTGACGAGGGGACCCTGGGCCTGGCCTACGTGGCCCCCTCCAGACAGGGCATCCCTGGGGGCCTCTGCTCAGAGAGTAAGATTGCGTCCCAAATAGCACCCTATTCCCTATGTAGTGTACTACTTTTGACCAAGTCCCATGTCCTAAATGACACCCTATTCTCCTAGGCCCATAAGGCGAATATATACTATATAGGGAATAGGGTTCCATTTGGGACGCATAAAAGCCTCCCGTCAACAACCGTCAACACATTAACCTTGACCACAACTCTGACATTGGTAAACTGATATTGGAAAATTCCACTTTGAGTTTTGCCTTCTCTGTCATCAGAGTGCCCTCCGTCATCGCCTGAGACGAGAGCTATTTATCTCAACACTGGGCTCACCAGCACTAAGAACTATGGGAAAACTATTCTGACCAAGGTGGGTTTATGAGACTCTGTGGGCTGGTGTCCCAGACACAGATTAAATTAAAACAATTTAATTCTCCATTGGGCATATTTTTTTGTCCAGAACTAGGCTTAATCTGTGTCTGGGAGACCGCCCCTGCAAGATGCTTAGAATTTGGAACATCCAAATGTACACAAAGGCAATATCTATTATTCTGGCTGAACCTTTATTGGAATAGGCGCCATCATATTTCATTAATATAACCTTTACTTATGGTTTGCCCTCAGGAGGCAGACCTGGTGACGACTCACGAGCTGGGCCATAACTTTGGGGCAGAGCATGACCCTGATAACATCCCCTACTGTGCTCCCAGGGAAGACCAGGGGGGCAAATACGTCATGTACCCCATCGCTGTGAGCGGAGACCACGTCAACAACAAGGTTCTAATACCCTCCTTTTTCCCACACGACAAACCAAACATCAACCTTAAGCGAAGTCTTTATTATACCAAGAATGATTATAGATGTGTCCAAAATGGCACCCTAGGCCATAGGGCTCTGGTCAGAAGTAGTGCACTATGAAGAAAATAGGGTGCCAGTTCGGACCCAGTTTATGACCTTGTTTTGTATCCCCAGCTGTTCTCCGACTGCAGTAAGATCTCCATTGTGAAGCGTCTGAGGAACAAGGCTCCAGTGTGCTTCAGGGAGAGGAACAGTAACGTGTGTGGGAACAGCAGGGTGGAACAGGGTGAGGAGTGTGACCCGGGACTGCTGCACATCAACGACGACCGCTGCTGTACCTCCGACTGCAAGCTCCGCCCCACAGCCAAGTGCAGGTGAGCCCTCTCTGGAACCACCAACCCTCGGATACCTGCACACCACACCCACTCAGGTTACAGGTTATAGTTTGTGATATGTTGTATGAATGTTATAAAGAATGATTGAATCATCTATCTGGGATATCACCCTGTATTACCATGACCGATTCTTTCCCTCTCTCTCTCTCTCTTCCTCCCTCTTTCTCTCGCGCGATCTCTCTCTCGCTCTCTCTCTGTCTTCCTCACTCTCTATCCCTCTCCCTCTCTACTCCCTCCCTTTCTCTCTGGATGTAGTGACAGGAACAGTGCATGTTGTAAGCTGTGCCAGTATGAGAAGGAGGGCAAGGTGTGCCAGGAACCCATCAGTGCCACCTGTAAGGGCAAGTCCTACTGCACAGGTAGGTTGATATCACCTGATACCACCCAGAGAGGGAGCCACACCACTACACCATACTCATGTCTACAGGTCCTAATAAAACATGAGTGAAATAATGAAATATGTCTTAGTTCATTGTTATTTCTATGTCCTTTTATAAACAATGACTTTATAAAGTCATATTTTTGTTCCCAGGCAACAGTAGTGATTGTCCGTCTCCTGAGAACGCCCCTGACAAGACGGTGTGTTTGGACAACGGAGAGTGTCTGGACGGTGTGTGTATCCCCTTCTGTGAGGCCGTCAAGAACCTGCAGTCCTGCGCCTGCAATGGTACGCTCCCCTCACCATCACCACCCTTCCTTTAGAGGCTGTAGTGGACTAATCCAACCTCAAGACTTAATATAATATCATATGCCATTAAGCAGTAGTGTGTGCATTGAACTTCGGATGGGTGGCCTCAGCGGGAATTGAACCCACGATCCTGACATTACAAGCGCCATGCTCTACCAACTGAGCCACATAGAACCTGTATACGCTATGTGTTCTGCTCTATTAAAGATGCATTTTACTTATAATATATAATTTACTTTATAATTAATATTAATACATAAAAATAAGCGATACTACAGTATGTTGTTCAGTGTTGTTTTTCCTCTCCTCTCTAGAAACCAACTCGTCATGTAAAGTGTGCTGTCGTAGCACCAGTGGAGTGTGCGCCCCATACCAGGACGACGGAGGGGACTTCATCTACCTCCGCAAGGGCAAACCCTGCACTGTGGGCTTCTGTGACGGAGCAGTAAGTGACCCCTGACCTCTTGACACTCACCCTCTAGTGTATTATATATTGATATTACAGCCCTTTTCACTTGGTTGGTTTTGCACATAGAAATGGAATCACTAGAACAGCCATTTTGAGTGTATCTCTGAGTCAAAAGAAAACATTAATAAAGATTGTTGATGTTAAGTGGATGCTTCTTAACCTTCTGTGTACAACACCAAGAAAAGTTTTTTATTTGTATTCCTTTTTAAGGGGGGGGGGGGTAGATCATCTTTATCAATGTAATTGTTTGCATAATTTTCAATCCCCCTTAATTATTTCTATATATAAAAAGAAATCCCGATACTTTCCCCCACATACGCTACCATCCCTGCCCTAATTGGAGTAAATTAACAGACAACAATACTTATTTTGCTACTTAAAGCTATTTCACTCACATCTAGCAACAAGTCTTGCATGGCAGTACAGTTTTCTTTTCTGGATTGCTGTGGTCTGAGGGCCTTGTTTCTATTCTCTAGTAATTCTATTTCTAGGGTTTTGTAACTAGCATGTGATATTTTTGTCTTATTCAGGGTAAATGTATGAAGCAAGTCCAGGATGTCATTGAGAGGCTGTGGGATTTCATTGACAAGCTGGACATCAACACATTTCGGAAGTTTTTGGCGGACAACATCGTGGGCTCTGTGGTGGTCTTCTCCTTGGTCTTCTGGGTCCCCCTCAGCATCCTGGTTCACTGTATGGTAGGCGTTATGTTTGTTCCTTGATGAATGACAAACTGGGGCATTGGTTTAGCTACCTATAATGACAAGATTCTTGAGCTAGCAAAATACATTGGTGTGTAGCCAAGCAAGGCATTATATCCACATCCACGTTGTGCATGTTGCATTATGGGAACCGTAGTGTTTTTTTATTAAGACATAATAATACATTAGGTGCCCATACTCAGAAATTCTGAGTTGTCATCAATCACCTAATACTGTACATGCTGTTATCATGTTATTATATAGTACCTGTCACATGGTATTATCACATCTAACATATTTTTCCCACTTCCAGGATAAAAAACTGGATCAGCAGTATGAACAGACCACCAAGTCTCTGCTTTTCCCCAGTGTAAGTACTGTTTGAGTCTGTTATCTTATTTATATACAGGACCAGTCAAAAGTTTGGACACACCTACTCATTCAAGGGTTTTTCTTTATTTTTACTATTTTCTACATTGTAGAATAATAGTGAAGACATCAAAACCATGAAATAACACATATGGAATCATGTAGTAACCAAAAAAGTGTTAAACAAATCAAAATATATTTTATATTTGAGATTCTTCAAAGTAGCCTCACCTGGAATGCTTTTCCAACAGTCCTGAAGGAGTTCCCACATATGCTGAGCACTTGTTGGCTGCTTTTCCTTCACTCTGCGGTCCAACTCTTGGCATTCTCTCAACCAGCTTCACCTGGAATGCTTTTCCAACAGTCTTGAAGGAGTTCCCACATATTTAAATATAAATTTAAATATGCCATTTAGCGGACGCTTTTATCCAAAGCGACTTACAGTCATGCGTGCATACATTTTTGTGTATGGGTGGTCCCGGGGATCGAACCCACTACCTTGGCGTTACAAGCGCCGTGCTCTACCAGCTGAGCTACAGAGCACTTGTTGGCTGCTTTTCCTTCACTCTGCCGTCCAATTCATCCCAAACCATCTCAATTGGGTTGAGGTTGGGTGATTGTGGAGGCCAGGTCATCTGATGCAGCACTCCATCACTCTCCTTCTTGGTCAAATAGGCCTTACACAGCTTGGAGGTGTGTTGGGACATTGTCCTGTTGAAAAACAAATGATAGTCCTGCTAAGCGCAAACCAAATGGGATGGCGTATCGCTGCAGAATGCTGTGGTAGCCATGCTAGTTAAGTGTGCCTTGAATTCTAAATAAATCACACAGTGTCACCAGCAAAGCACCACCACACCACCTCCTCCATGCTTCACAGTGGGAACCACACATGTGGAGATCATCCGTTCACCTACTCTGCGTCTCACAAAGACACTGCGGTTGGAACCAAAAATCTCACATTTGGACTCATCAGACCAAAGGACAGATTTCCACCGGTCTAATGTCCATTGTTCATGTTTCTTGGCCCAAGCAAGTCTCTTCTTCTTATTGGTGTCTTTTTAGTAGTGGTTTCTTTGCAGCAATTCGACCATGAAGGCCTGATTCACGCAGTCTCCTCTGAACAGTTGATGTTTAGATGTGTCTGTTACTTGAACGCAATTTCTGAGGCTGGTAACTCTAATGAACTTATCCTCTGCAGCAGAGGTAACTCTGGGTCTTCCTTTTCTGTGGCGGTCCTCATGAGAGCCAGTTTCATGATAGCGCTTGATGGTTTTTGCGACTGCACTTGAAGAAACGTTCAGTTCTCGAAAGTTCTCGAAATGTTCCGTATTGACTGACCTTCATGTCTTAAAGTAATGATGGACTGTCGTTTCTCTTTGCTTATTTGAGCTGTTCTTGCCATAATATGGACTTGGTCTTTTACCAAATAGGGCTATCTTCTGTATACCACCCCTACCTTGTCACAACACAACTGATTGGCTCAAACGCATTAAAAAGGAAATAAATTCCACAAATTAACTTTGAAGAAGGCACACCTTTTTAATTGAAATGCATTCCAGGTGACTACCTCATGAAGCTGGTTGAGAGAATGCCAAGAGTGTTCAAAGATGTCATCAAGGCAAAGGGTGGCTACTTTGAAGAAACTCAAATATAACATATTTTGATTTGTTTAACACTTTTTTGGTTACTGGTTTTGGTTATGATTCCATATGTGTTATTTCATAGTTTTGATGTCTTCACTATTATTCTACAATGTAGAAAATAGTAATGTAAAGAAAAACAATGAGTAGGTGTGTCCAATCTTTTGACTGGTAGTGTAAGTATTTATATATATATACTGCTCAAAAAAATAAAGGGAACACTTAAACAACACATCCTAGATCTGAATGAATTAAATAATCTTATTAAATACTTTTTTCTTTACATAGTTGAATGTGCTGACAACAAAATCACACAAAAATTATCAATGGAAATCAAATGTATCAACCCATGGAGGTCTGGATTTGGAGTCACCCTCAAAATTTAAGTGGAAAACCACACTACAGGCTGATCCAACTTTGATGTAATGTCCTTAAAACAAGTCAAAATGAGGCTCAGTAGTGTGTGTGGCCTCCACGTGCCTGTGTGACCTCCCTACAACGCCTGGGCATGCTCCTGATGAGGTGGCGGATGGTCTCCTGAGGGATTTCCTCCCAGACCTGGACTAAAGCATCCGCCAACTCCTGGACAGTCTGTGGTGCAATGTGGCGTTGGTGGATGGAGCGAGACATGATGTCCCAGATGTGCTCAATTGGATTCAGGTCTGGGGAACGGGCGGTCCATAGCATTTATTTATTTATTTATTTTTATTTTTAGTCATTTAGCAGACGCTCTTATCCAGAGCGACTTACAGGGGCAATTAGGGTTAAGTGCCTTGCTCAAGGGCACATCGGCAGATTTTTCACCTAGTCGGCTCTGGGATTAGAACCAGCGACCTTTCGGTTACTGGCACAACGCTCTTACCCACTAAGCTACCTGCCGCCCATCAATGCCTTCCTCTTGCAGGAACTGCTGACACACTCCAGCCACATGAGGTCTAGCATTGTCTTGCATTAAGAGGAACCCAGGGCCAACCGCACCAGCATATGGTCTCACAAGGGGTCTGAGGATCTCATCTCGGTACCTAATGGCAGTCAGGCTACCTCTGGCGAGCACATGGAGGGCTGTGCGGCCCCCCAAAGAAATGCCACCCCACACCATGACCCACCGCCAAACCGGTCATGCTGGAGGATGTTGCAGGCAGCAGAACGTTCTCCACGGCGTCTCCAGACTCTGTCACGTCTGTCACATGTGCTCAGTGTGAACCTGCTTTCATCTGTGAAGAGCACAGGGCGCCAGTGGCGAATTTGTCAATCTTGGTGTTCTCTGGCAAATGCCAAACGTCCTGCACGGTGTTGGGCTGTAAGCACAACCCCCACCTGTGGACGTCGGCCCTCATACCACCCTGATGGAGTCTGTTTCTGACCGTTTGAGCAGACACATGCACATTTGTGGCCTGCTGGACGTTATTTTATTTTACGGCCTCCTCCACGTCTCCTGATGTACTGGCCTGTCTCCTGGTAGCGCCTCCATGCTCTGGACACTACGCTGACAGACACAGCAAACCTTCTTGCCACAGGTCGCATTGATGTGCCATCCTGGATGAGCTGCACTACCTGAGCCACTTGTGTGGGTTGTAGACTCCGTCTCATGCTACCACTAGAGTGAAAGCACCGCCAGCATTCAAAAGTGACCAAAACATCAGCCAGGAAGCATAGGAACTGAGAAGTGGTCTGTGGTCACCACCTGCAGAACCACTTCTTTATTGGGGGTGTCTTGCTAATTGCCTATAATTTCCACCTGTTGTCTATTCCATTTGTACAACAGCATGTGAAATGTATTGTCAATCAGTGTTGCTTCCTAAGTGGACAGTTTGATTTCACAGAAGTGTGATTGACTTGGAGTTACATTGTGTTGTTTAAGTGTTCCCTTTATTTTTTTGAGCAGTGTGTATATATATATATATATATATTTGAACGGTAGTATGTGTATACAGCTCTGGAAAAAAGTAAGAGACCACTGCAAAATTATCAGTTTCTCTGGTTTTACTATTTATAGGTATGTGTTTGGGTAAAAATATCATTTTTGTTTTATTTTATAAACTACTGACAACATTTCTCCCAAATTCCATTGTCATTTAGAGCATTTATTTGCAGAAAATGACAACTGGTCAAAATAACAAAAAATATGCAGTGTTGTCAGACCTCGAATAATGCAAAGAAAATAATACTAATACTAATACAACACAATACTAATGTTTTAACTTAGGAAGAGTTCAGAAATCAATATTTGGTGGAATAACCCTGATTTTCAATCACAGCTTTCATGCGTCTTGGCATGCTCTCCACCAGTCTTTCACATTGATGTTGGGTGACTTTATGCCACTCCTGGCGCAAAAATTCAAGCAGCTCGGCTTTGTTTGATGGCTTGTGACCATCCATCTTCCTCTTGATCACATTCCAGAAGTTTTCTATGGGGTTCAGGTCTGGAGATTGGGCTGGCCATGACAGGGTCTTGATCTGGTGGTCCTCCATCCACACCTTGATTGACCTGGCTGTGTGGCATGACACATTGTCCTGCTGGAAAAACCATCCTCAGAGTTGGGGAACAATGTCAGAGCAAAAGGAAGCAAGTTTTCTTCCAGGACAACCTTGTACGTGGCTTGATTCATGCATCCTTCATAAAGACAAATCTGCCCGATTCCAGCCTTGCTGAAGCACCCCCAGATCATCACCGATCCTCCACCAAATTTCACAGTGGGTCCGAGACACTGTGGCTTGTAGGCCTCTCCAGGTCTCCGTCTAACCATTAGACGACCAGGTGTTGGGCAAAGCTGAAAATTGGACTCATCAGAGAAGATTACCTTACTTCAGTCCTCTACGGTCCAATCCTTATGGTATTTCGCAAACCTCAGCCTGGCTCTTCTTTGCTTCTCATTTGATGAAGGGCTTTTTTCTAACTTTGCACGACTTCAGCCCTGCCCCTAAGAGCCTGTTTCGAACCGTCCTCGCCGTGCACTTCACCCCAGCTGCCGTTTGCCATTCTTTTTGTATGTCACTTGATGTCATCCTATGGTTGTTGAGTGACGTTCGAATGAGTTGGCAGTCATCCCGGTTAGTAGAGAGTCATTTTCGCCTTCTGCCGGTCTGTAGCTTTGTTGTCCCCAATGTCTGCTGCTTGACCTTGTTCTTATGAACCGCCGTCTTTGACATTTGGAGGATGGAAGCAACCTGACGCTCACTGTATCCCTCTGCCAGTAAAGCCAGAATTGAACCCTTCTTTTCCTCTCTCAAAACTTTCCATTTTAACTCTTTTGGCATGGTCAATAGTTATAGTTATTTTTTTATTAATATTACTTTTGAGGTACTATTAGCACTGTTTTTGCCATCCAGCTGGTCCTATTGCAAGAGGATAGTGATGACCACAGCAGTGTTTTTTATACTTTTCCTTGTTAAATAAGATTTGGTTCAGGTGATCACCTAATCAGTACCTAATTCAGTAGAATGAGGTGTGCCTGTGTTGGAATTCAACAGACACTGGAATGGAATGGCTGTCATACATGTAGAGATGCTGATTTAAGAAACATTTGCAGTGGTCTCTTAATTTTTTCCACAGCTGTGTGTGTGTGTGTGTGTGTGTGTGTGTGTGTGTGTGTGTGTGTGTGTGTGTGTGTGTGTGTGTGTGTGTGTGTGTGTGTGTGTGTGTGTGTGTGTGTGTGTGTGTGTGTGTGTGTGTGTGTGTGTGTGTGTGTGTATATATATATATACTGCTCAAAAAAATAAAGGGAACACTTAAACAACACAATGTAACTCCAAGTCAATCACACTTCTGTGAAATCAAACTGTCCACTTAGGAAGCAACACTGATTGACAATAAATTTCACATGCTGTTGTGCAAATGGAATAGACAACAGGTGGAAATTATAGGCAATTAGCAAGACACCCCCAATAAAGGACTGGTTTTGCAGGTGGTGACCACAGACCACTTCTCAGTTCCTATGCTTCCTGGCTGATGTTTTGGTCACTTTTGAATGCTGCCGGTGCTTTCACTCTAGTGGTAGCATGAGACGGAGTCTACAACCCACACAAGTGGCTCAGGTAGTGCAGCTCATCCAGGATGGCACATCAATGCGAGCTGTGGCAAGAAGGTTTGCTGTGTCTGTCAGCGTAGTGTCCAGAGCATGGAGGCGCTACCAGGAGACAGGCCAGTACATCAGGAGACGTGGAGGAGGCCGTAGGAGGGCAACAACCCAGCATCAGGACTGCTACCTCCGCCTTTGTGCAAGGAGGAGCAGGAGGAGGACTGCCAGAGCCCTGCAAAATGACCTCCAGCAGGCCACAAATGTGCATGTGTCTGCTCAAACGGTCAGAAACAGACTCCATCAGGGTGGTATGAGGGCCCGACGTCCACAGGTGGGGGTTGTGCTTACAGCCCAACACCGTGCAGGACGTTTGGCATTTGCCAGAGAACACCAAGATTGGCAAATTCGCCACTGGCGCCCTGTGCTCTTCACAGATGAAAGCAGGTTCACACTGAGCACATGTGACAGACGTGACAGAGTCTGGAGACGCCGTGGAGAACGTTCTGCTGCCTGCAACATCCTCCAGCATGACCGGATTGGCGGTGGGTCATGGTGTGGGGTGGCATTTCTTTGGGGGGCCGCACAGCCCTCCATGTGCTCGCCAGAGGTAGCCTGACTGCCATTAGGTACCGAGATGAGATCCTCAGACCCCTTGTGAGACCATATGCTGGTGCGGTTGGCCCTGGGTTCCTCCTAATGCAAGACAATGCTAGACCTCATGTGGCTGGAGTGTGTCAGCAGTTCCTGCAAGAGGAAGGCATTGATGCTATGTACTGGCCCCATTCCCCAGACCTGAATCCAATTGAGCACATCTGGGACATCATGTCTCGCTCCATCCACCAACGCCACGTTGCACCACAGACTGTCCAGGAGTTGGCGGATGCTTTAGTCCAGGTCTGGGAGGAGATCCCTCAGGAGACCATCCGCCACCTCATCAGGAGCATGCCCAGGCTTTGTAGGGAGGTCATACAGGCACGTGGAGGCCACACACACACTACTGAGCCTCATTTTGACTTGTTTTAAGGACATTACATCAAAGTTGGATCAGCCTGTAATGTGGTTTTCCACTTTAATTTTGAGGGTGACTCCAAATCCAGACCTCCATGGGTTGATACATTTGATTTCCATTGATAATTTTTGTGTGATTTTGTTGTCAGCACATTCAACTATGTAAAGAAAAAAGTATTTAATAAGATGATTTCATTCATTCAGATCTAGGATGTGTTATTTTAGTGTTCCCTTAATTTTTTTTAAGCAGTGTGCGTGTATGTGTGTATATATATATATATATATATATATATATATATATATATATATATATATATATATATATATATATATATATATATATATTTATTTATCCACTGTAGTCATCTTGGTTATCTGACCCTTGGCTTTGACCCTGCTTGTGTGTCTCCAGAATGCAGAGTTTATGAGCAGTCTGGAGTCAGCCTCTGTGCGGATCTTCAAACCCCCCGCCATCTCAGCCCTGCGCTTCCAGGCCTCTGGCCCCCAGCAGACCAGCACTCCCCCCATCCAAGCCCCAGCTCCAGCTCGAACCCCTGGGGCCCTAGCCCCAACCTCCACTCCCAGCCCCAACCAGAGTCCCTTGCCCCCCCTGGAGAGCCCACGCATGGCCACCATCCAGGAGGACCCCAGCTTTGACTCCCACCTGGATGAAGAGGCTCTGGAGGGTGACTTTCCCATGGGGAGTTCGGCTCCACACTCCTTTGAGGATCTGACAGAGCACGGACCACTGGCCCGACGCAGCGACAAGGCCCTGTCCTTCAGACTCCAGAGACAGGCCCGCATCAACAGCAAGGAGACAGAGTGCTGAGAGAGAGAGGGAGGGAGAGAGAGGGGTAGAGAGATAAAAGACGGCTCTTAAGACAGGAGACTGAGAAAGAAAACGGGAGAAAGAGACTGGAGGAGGAAAGGACAGAGCGTGGGAGAGGAAGCTCACCCAATCAGCACTGAAGGGCAGACCACAGAGTAAAACAAGCAGGACTTGTCTGATACAATATGTGGGCTGAGTTATATAATGTATTATATGGAGTTGGAGAGCAGCTTCAGTTGAAAATAGGATCCCACTGGGCTAAAATGAAACCTATTGAGCATTGAAAAGCCAAATTCTTCAAAACTGAAATTAAAAATCAACATTGTTTCATCTATGAAAGATTGACAATCTAGTCTAGAATTTTCTTGGTAAATTGTAGTGCCTGACTAATAAGAAGTAGCCGACTGCGATGACCAGGTTATATTGATGTTGTTCTGGTTTCAGATGATTTATTGTTTAAGATATCCTGGCTTGCTCACTTGCGCAGCCTGGCATATGAACATGTTACGCAATGCCTCCATTTATGTATTTGAGTTGGTTGATGTCTGTAATATCAGTAGCCTGGTGCTAGTTAATGTACTTTGTGGCAAAGCAATATAACACTACTTGACCTCTTTGCTCTTCGTAACCATGACAACATGTAACCTCATGGGGGAAAAAATGAATTTATCATGGAGAAGTCAAGAAAAATGTTACAAAGAATTTCATTTGTTGGGAGAGCCTGGTTGGTTGTAACTAATAACAAAACCAGCATAATGTTTACTGTTCAATCCTGTGAACCGTAGTCTGAACCAGTATTACTCATAGAGATAGATGGAGGACTCATCTTTGTAACTGTGCCATTATAGCGCCTGTGACCGCATGGGTAGCGCGTTGAGGTTATCTCCATTTTGAGGTAAGTCAATTTTCTTCTTAACGATTGGCTGATCCCTCCTGATGACTTGACTCCAACAGGGTCACCAGGAGGGATCAGCCAATAAAGTTGGAAGTTCCACCTAGTTGACGACATTAAATTGGTGGAAGCCCTCAATGGCGCTGCTCATATGGCCTTTTGGCCACTATAGGCCTCTATCATTCTTCATGGTATTACTACACTATAAATCCTGAATGTTATTAGGTCATTTGTCAAACCAGACCTGTATGGTGTCTTATGCATTGAGAGAAATCTAATCATTAGAGTTGTCTGATATGCAAGATTGACAAATTACTAATTGTTACTCAACACTTAATTGCTGAAAGTGTTTTTGATACCATTTGTATGCATTCATATGACAATTGTGACAATCAGCAAGATTTCTATATTTCTAGCCTCACACAAGCCATTTATAGAATATAATCGCTCAATTTGGGCTTTGGCCACTATCGTACAATCTCAACGGTTTCTCATCCACTGTATGAAAATGTATTAGCTACCGTTATTTGACCGATTGTCTGATATTTTCTGTTTCATTGTGAACTCCTGCCAGACATGATCTCACCGACGTGTTATGCTTTTATCGTGTTCACATTGTAAATCCCTCCCATATTTAGGAATTTCTTTATCTGTTTTATGCCCTCACATATGAAACATTATTTCCTCTTCTTTGATCTGGATGAAAGAATGCCTCAACAGCTTCCTACGAGTATTTTATATCTGGATGTGTGATTAACTTGTATCATATCTCAGGTAGGTCATCTTCAGGGGTTACAGTGACTATATATTAAATAATGTCAGAGACATCACTCAGAACACTATTACTTACCTTTGTTTAACATTGGCAGTTAACCGTTTTATTAAATTGCTCACATTGTTGCACTTCTCAATATTTCATACATTTACAGCTTTGCTTCACAGAAATAATTAACTACTTTATAAACCTGCAATATTAATAAAGTTCATAGAAATGTGGCCAGCATAGTCCTTTATTACTTTTTTTTTTTAAACAAATTGATAATTTATCAATGCAATGCATATTGCAGAAATAAAATCTACACATTGATAATTCAACATAAGTCAATGGAGGCTGATTCCTGTGGAATCTACACTTTTCCAAACACAGATTCTTCCTTTATGTGATAAGGCAGCTAGAATGACAGAGGAATGAAATGGAGGGGGCAATGTTAAGACATTACATTGATACTTTGAACCATTACAATGCAAGAACATGTAGAAAATATCCACTGTATTCATTGCCCAGCTAACATACAAATATCTATTCATAATACATGGAAAACCCTTCAAATACACATTGAATAGACCATATCAGTGCTGCACTGCCAGTAAAGGAAAGTGGGCAAGTGCCTCTGGGTGATGCTGTTTGGGAAAAGGGGTGTGTTGGGCCGTGCCTACTGCTTCTGGGACAGGGGCTCACTGGCTGCCTGGGGAGAGAAGAGAGGTGGATGGCTCTCCTCAGATTGCAGGGTTGAGAGCATCATAGAGCCTCTGCACAGCCAGCTCCACCATCTCTCTCAGGGTCTCATCTTCAGCACTGCCCTCCTCATACTGCACCGTCTGCACAACAGACAGACAGGGGAGAACCAGGTCAGAGGAGAACACACACTCATAGACAGACACTTGCAGACAGAGCTACTAAATCCTCACTCTGGTCTCTGGGCAGATGAAGGCAGTATTCCCGTCCACTGTTACTGTCAGGTTCTTATTGTCCTTGAAGTCCACACAGTCCTCCCCAAACATGTCACTGTTGAGGGAAAGATATAAGCGCTGAGATATTTGATATCAGTTATGTTGATACATATTCACAACATCTCTGTTGACTCATGACACGTGTGAATATAAAAAACGTTAATAGGGGGTGGAACTTACTGAAGCATAATCTCCAGCCTCTGCTGAAAAACATCCAGTTCTACACCTTCTTTCTTGTGTTCCATAACTATAGATGAAGAAATGAACATCAGCAAGGGACACTATATACTACATGAGAACATACATTTGAAAACAGACTTTAGTTTTCAGATTTCTTCGTCAGTCCATGATAGAGATAACGTTGGACCACCCTTCCTTCACTGACCTTTCTGTGCTTTAGGGTTAGACTGGACCTCCAGAACCACTGTGGTGACCGCATCAGCATACATGTCATTCAGAGGGTTGGCGATCCACTGCACCAATACAAAACCAGTTAGCCAATGTTCACACACTTTCCTATAGTAACTTTCCCAAAATTCCCAGGTTTTCCAGAAATCCTGATTGGAGGATTTCAGATTTCCTGCTTATTCCCTTCTGATTCTGGGACTCTTCCTACCGGGATTTCTTCTTCATATTCAGTATCTCACCTCTAAAACCACCATGCCAGCCTCGTGCACCAGCGTGACATTCTTGAAGATCCTGAGTGTGATTTTATCTGCAGACTCCACCTCCTCCACATCCCCTAAAAGACAAGCAGGTTTATATAGTCAGACAAACCGAGAAAAACGCCAGAACCTGGTTATAAGTGACAGCTTTACAGTGTCTTTGAAAATGGCCCAATGTAACCACTACTGTAAAGTCACTGGCACAGTCCCACAAAAAAAACTCTTAATAACACCAACAAAAAACGGAGTTAGCTAGGTGTTCCCCGCTCGTCTGTTGGTTGCCATTTCTTGAGTGATATTTTGTCTGATTCCACATTTGTCCGATTCTGATTCAATCAGCAGTTGTTGTTAATTGATTGACCAGTGTGCCTTAATCTCCAACAAGGTGAGAGGAGTTCAGTAGAAACCCACCTGCCAGGTTGCGTAGATGGCTGGCCAGCAGAGAGATGGGTCCAGTGAAGGGAATGGCCTGGGTCTGCTTCACTGTGCTCATGGCCAGGTCTGTATAGTCTGGAGACGGAGAAAGGAGAGAAGAGTTCATACACACTAGTACACACTCACGGACGCACATATATGTATAGACACACACACACGTTGACACACAGTCAGATAGTGAATCAGTACTGACTGGACAGATCTGAGGGGGTGAGGATGTGGTAGCTGAAGTTGCGTTTGACCAGGATCCCAGACACCCTCTGGCCCTGCTGACACTTCTGATCAGCCAGGGAGCCCATCACCTACAGCACAGAATAGAAAGAGTCAGTATACACACACACAAGCACACAGAGACACACCAAGTGTTTGTAAGACACAAACTGCCTCAGTTGTACACACTTCCATTCGACTTGATGGCAATGGATACGTTGATGGGCCATAGAATATCATCAATATTTACTGTCTGTAACTCAATTCAGTCTAATTCTCCCAATAAATTATATTACAGTAGGAGACCGCTAAAGAGAGAGAAGACGACGGGCTCACCTTAGCCAGCTTCTCTCCTCTGAAGTTGAGTGTGACGGCCTCAGTGTTTCGGGGGTTGTGCACCTCGATGTGGACCTCATCATTGTCCTCGTACTCTCTGATCAGAGCAGCTTTGAGACGGGCCATCTCATTCTGCTCCCCGTGCACCAGGATCTGCAGAGGGATCAAGGAAAAGGTCACACGAACAGACTCAAGTCATTGACGTATAACAGGAAAAAAAAAAAGAGAGGCCCAAGCACACTTCCTTTGTAGAACAGTGTCCCGTTCACATTTACCATTTGATTACGGCCTGTAAGATAGGATCTGACCCATTTAATGGCCGACGGAGTGTGTCTATTTACCACATGAGGGGGTTTGAGAGCCCTGATGAACTCGCTGGTCTGCTGGTAGTCAGTGTGGGCTGAGAAGGAGATGTAGTCCACAGACATCTTCAGCTGCAGCTTCTGGCCTGACATGGTGGTGATCTCCTCTGGCTCTGACATGATGTGCTGAGGATAGAGTCACAGAGGAACAGTCCGTTCACAAACAGAGTAATGAATCTTAGCATGGCTGGAAATGACTTTTCTGTTTATCTGTCATTTGATGATAATAAAAAATATTTCATCACAACAAAGCTTGGCTTGCAATAATACCACACTGTAGGATTACTTCTGTTGTGATGAGTTAGTGTGACTGAGAAATGTCTTAAGAAGGGTTGAAGACCGAGCCCCACCTTGGCGAGGGTACCCTCCACGGAGTAGCCGGCGATGATGACGCCGTTCCTCTTATCGGTGCACCAGCTCTCAAATAGCTCTCTGGACAGACCACTCTGCATCATACCCGGAGAAGCCATCACCACACTGGGCCCGATGTCATCAAAGTGATCCATGCTCTGGTTGAGAGAGGTACAGCAGAGTTAGCATGGACCGAGAGACACAGCAGGGTCATATTCATTAGAGTACACTGTAGAAAAACTTTTTACAAAGGAAATTAAAAGGAGTGTTTCTTATTGGACAAGTTCAGGTAGTCCCTCCCTGTTTCAGCCTGTTTTCTACTTTTTGGTGCCTAATAAATATAAAAAAATCGTATTGAAAAATGCCACTACCAAACCTTCATCTGATTAATGTTACCTACCTTGAGGTTGCTGATGTGCTTGAAGACGAAGGGGTTGTTGACGTTAATGGCCTTTCGGATCTTGTCGTTCATAGCGTTGACGTAGGTCTGGTAGACGGCCATGCACTTCTTGGCCAGAGACGACGCGTAGTAGATGGGAATGTCATGGAGCTCCGGGTGGTTCTGCCAGTACTCGTCTGAAACACACACATTAGAGGCACATGCACACACACACATTAGAGAAGGGTTGTGTTCATTAGAACACGCAACAGAAGGCCAGGTGACGTTTGGTTCCTAATGAACACTTCCATGAATGAGGGTGACTAGAGAAAGATCCCTGCTCTATAAGCAGGCTGAAGGGGGAACTGGTTGGAGAATCTCACCCAGGATGAGCAGCAGTTCCTGGGCTCGGCCCAAGGCGAACACGGGGATGAGACAGCGGCCCTCTCTGTTGACGATGTCATGGATTGTGTTGCAGAACCGGGCCTCCCGCTCCTCCCTCTTCTCGTGGATGTGTGTTCCATACGTGGACTCCTGAGGACAGAGAGCAGTACACATCAAATCATCATGTTAGGAAAACAAGATCACACGAGAATCAAAGTGAAGTACGCTGCTTTTTTGTGGTTGTGGTTAGGCTGGGTTGCCGTAAAGCACCATGTGACGACTGCTGATTTAAATGAATTTGATAGTCTGATTGATTGTAGTTGTGTTTAGTGTTGTATGTTACTGTTAGCAGGGACTCACAGTAATGAGGATGTCAGGCTTGACGCTGGGGATCTCTGCTGCCATCAGATGTCTGTCCTCCTGTCGGGAAAAGTCACCTGTGTACAGGATCTATGGACAGAGACACACCCAGAGAAACAACGATAACAGGAGACAGTTGAGTTAAAACCGACTATTTTAAGAGACAGCAGCAAAGTGTATAGACAAAATGTATTTCTGTTTCAAATAATAATTTCCTCATGTAATTGTACAGTAACATTTGTCCAGCATATGGGTGCCACCTTCTGGCCAGAATAAACAATACAATCTGTATAGGTGATGCTTTGGGGAGATGTTGACGAAACTCTACAAAAACAAGGTGCAGATGACAAGATATTCAAATAAAATAAAATGGGAGAGAACAGAATTTCTGAGAAATCATGTGCCATTAATAATAAGAACCTTTTCTGATGGCCCTTTCACAAAGAAGAAGATTAATAAGATGTAGTTGCTTTTCTGTCCCAGTAATCAATGTAAAAGTAATGTAAATGTAGTCACCTTCACCCCAGCTATCTCGATCATGAACATGGCTGCCCCCAGGACGTGACCGGCATGGTAACACCAGAACTTGATGCCGGCCACCTCCTTCACCTCATGGAAGTTGATGGTCTCGATCTTGTCCATGCTCTCCTCCAAGTCTGTCTCTGTGTACAGCATGTCGTCGGCTGAGATGTTACTGGGAGGGAAAACACAGAGACAGTCATGGGCACAATGTGAACCCGAATCATCCATAATGGATGATGGCATCTCTACAATGACTCTACATTGCAGAATTCTGTATTTTTTTGCCCTGAAGACACGGCTGTGTAGACTTATGACGTCTAACAGTTAGATGCCAAAGGAGTCGACATAGGAGTCTACAGCCATGTCTTCAGGGCAATACATTTTGCAACTACTCTATCAAGAAAGAAACAGTAGAGTACGCTGCTATTTCCCCCTAACCGAGTAAGACATTCGTCAATGGCCTATGTTCCTTATAGGAGCCAAAGGCTGAAGTTAAGTAAGTCAGGCTGCTATTGGAAGTTAATAAACGTTTGTCTACCTGACTTTGACATAATCTGACAGCAGCCAGCGGTAGATGGCTTTGGTGGCATGGGTCATGAAGGTCCTTCCTTTGAAACTGGTCTTCTGGAGAAACCAAGGCAAGGCTCCACAGTGGTCCAAGTGGAAACTGAGATAGAGAGAGGAGATTATAGAGAACTAAATATATGGTGCATTATAAAACTGAACACTCAGTCTTCAGTGTGTTAATACACCTGACCTGGGGCAACATATAACAGGGTTGTGCTTATAAGGCACAAAACGTAGGAAAACTCTCAGAAACAGAAAGGTATTTCTGAACTTGTCCATATAAGAAACACTTGTTTTTGTTTTAGGTTGCGAAAAGTTTTGCTACAGTTTAACTTGACCCTAATAAACAGAACCCAGACAAGAGATTAGGAATACTCACTGGCTGATAAGAAGCAGGTCTATCTCAGCCGGATCGATCAAGTCAATATAGGGAAGAGCATCCATTCCCTCCAATCCTGGGTGGATTCCACAGTCCAGCTACAAAGGAAAACGGTTGTTGTACTCAATCATCAGGTTACTTCTATTTTGGAATGTCTCATACAATCCATAATGCATTGTAAATTCAACAGGGACAGCACAGTGCATGTAATATTACCATGATTTTCCGTCCCTTGAACTCCAGAATGATGCATGACCTTCCCACCTCCTGTCCAGCTCCACTGTGAGAGGGAAAGAGACGCCAATCACTGTCTGATGATGATATTTGTGACACAGTGACGTTCTGGCAGATTCAGAAAAGTCTTACGCATTATGACAATATTTTGTCAGCAAAATGCATCTGCGTGACTGAATGTAATGCATAGCTACGGTCGCTACTTCAAAAGACCATCTAAGACCATGTAGCTAGCTATGCATATACCAGGTAAAACACGGTAACATCTTTGGAAAATAACTAGTACTAGGTAACATTCAACAAATTAATAATTTATCTAACTAGGTAGACAGGCGTCAGTCGTAATGTTTTTGCTAGTCAGACTGGCTAAATTAGCTAGCTAGCCAGCCAGCCAGCTAACAAAGTGTTGAATGTATAAACTCACAGAGGTCTGATGAGGAGCTGATCACTTTCCTCTGCAGGCACCGATAAATCAGCTTTGCGTTTCGCCGCCATATTTGCTCTTACGATTTAATAAAAAAAATATATGCTTATTATGTATTAATTGTATTAATTCATTCTTCTGGCATCTACATAAACTAACCGCACGATGGTCCAGCTACAACACTTACCGCACTACAACAACACTTCCGGTCCAGCGATATAAATATGTCCGGACGTAGAATGGTCTTTGCTACAATAGGTTCCGGTATTGTAACATGGGGCGCGCATTCAGGAGGACACAACGTTTTGGAATGTTCAGGTAGAAATATGTTATTTAGAACAAACAAGCTTCTCCAACATATAAAACACGAAATCATGTAGGCTGTATTTATGGCATTTCTATCTGCAACGTTCGAGAACGTTTGGCAACTGAACGTGGCCCTGATTTTAGGGCAGAGTTACCAGAGCACAATATAATCATAATGACATTGCTATAATCTGTCCTCCCCAAAATGACTCTTTCACTTATGGACGTCATTTAAAAAAAGTGGAGTGACTACTACAGATATGTCATAACAGAATGCATTGAAGACAAAACACACAATGAGCCATTTCACGTTTTAATGAATATCCATGGACATGTAAAGAACATACGGGAAGAGGATAGTGTAGGATGTACATTTCTTAAAATTTCATTTAGCTCAAATGTTACAGCTACAATATACATACAGAGTTACCCTGCAACCCTTTTGCCAGCATCATATATTCACAAATGCTCTCTTGATAAATTAGATTTCTTTCAATGTTAGATTCAAACATATCAGTTTCCCATCAGCAGAAGCTGTCATGGGATGATCATGCTCAGTGACAAGTGTTTGTGATACACAGCAATGTTATGACTGATGTAATATGTAGACTTTGAGTGGTAGGACAATATGTTTATTGTTATACCAAGTTACACTTTCAATACCCATCTGAGTCGATAACACTATACCAATATTGAATTTGAAAGCCTCAAGTTTGACTGTACCCTCAAGGATGCACTATACTGTATGGACTTTAAATAAAACATAATCAAGCAGAATCTTGCTCCAGTTATTTCCAGTTGTCCCAGCAAACCAAGTATACTTTCTCAAAACTTAGCATGCGGGTAGAACAGTTTCCCCCATTTGCCTCTTATTTTGGTGAATGTTGTTAAATAGTTTTCCAGCATTGTAGATAAGAACATTCTATTGGCAGGTCAGAGGTCACCTAGTCATCGTCTTTGGCTGTTTGTATGCATGAGAATAACAACACCCACACACGTGATGTGCACGTCCCACACCTCTTTCACTCATAGACATTGTTTATGTCCCAAATTATACCCTATTCCCTATATAGTGCACTACTTTTGACCAGAGCCTTATGGGCCCTGGTCAAAAGTAGTTCACTACATATGGAATAGGGTGCCATTTGGGACTCAAACGTAGATAAACACAGCCTAGTAGTGAGTGACAGCTTCGGTCACACCATCAGCTGCATCAGTCAGGGATGAAGCACACGAATGTCGCAGGGAAGACTCCACTCCTGGTCGACTCCCCCTCGATATGTCCTACCTGCAACATACACAACAGGACAACAGTCAGTGGATCAGAAATATAAGGACACAGTCAGTGTATGTGTGTGTGTGTGCAATTTGTGTGTGTGTGCATGCATGATTGTGCGTGTAGGTGTGTGTTGCAGCTGTTGTACTTACCCACCACTCCTGGTCTTCCTCTCCATCCACTACGATCACCTCTCCCTCAGTGAACGTCAGCTCATCTGGGTTATCAGCTGAACATTTGTAGATGGCTTTCACCCTCTTGGGCCTCTGTTTCTAAGGGCCAAATAATAATGAGTAAGACAAGAAGACGTTAGTTAATGGTTTTGCAAGAGTTCAATCAGTCCTGATGGTAAATCTCAATACTGTAAATAAACCTGCTCATAATCAGTGTAAATATGATATTACTGTATTGGTATAATAGTCTGTGTGTTAGGTAGTGATTGCACGCCACTGATTGGCTGAGTTGAGGATCTCACAGGATGGTTAGCACGGGGCTTGGGTGTTGGAGGAGTTGGACCAGAGCTCTGAGGGGATCCAGTTACAGGTGCATTCTTTACTGCTAACACACAAGCAAAAAGACACATTGGGACATTTAATAATCAATTCATGGACATGACACATAAAATAGTAAGTAGTCTGGTCCCAGATCTGTTCGTGCTCTTATCAACTCCATTACTCTAACCAATTGAAAGAAAGAAAGCAGAAACAGACTGGCACCCAGACAAATAAAACAAAGCTATTTGAACCAGAGCAGGCTAGTTATTTGATATTATATTTATTTATTTGATATTGTACGCTGAGTGTACAAAACTTTAGGAACACCTTCCTAATATTGAGTTGCACCCCCTTTTGCCCTCAGAATAGCCTCAATTCGTTGGGTCATGGACTCTACAAGGTGTCGAAGGCATTCCACAGGGATGCTGGCCCATGTTAACTCTGATGCTTCCCACAGTTGTGTCAAGTTGGCTGGATGTCCTTTGGGTGGTGGACCATTCTTGATACACACAGGAAACTGTTGAGCGTGAAAAACCCAGCAGCGTTGCAGACACAAACCGGTGTGCCTGGCACCTACTACCATACTCCGTTCAAAGGCACTTAAATATTTTGTCTTGCCCATTCACCCTCTGAATGGCACACATACACAATCCATGTCTCAAGGCTTAGAAATCATTCTTTAACCTGTCTCCTCCCCTTCATTTACACTGATTGAAGTGGATTTAATAAGTGACATCAATAAGGGATCATAGCTTTCACCTGGATTCACCTGGTCAGTCTATGTCATGGAAAGAGCTGGTTTTCCTTATGTTTTGTACAATCAGTTTATACTAAAATTGTGTGAATGGTATTTGAGTGTGTGATGTGTTTACCGGATCTATTAGTGGGTCCAGCAGGCCTGCCGGGTGGTCCTTTAGGTGTGGGTTTATCTGAACTGAAACCACACACACATTAATTGTCTCAGTTAACTGATAATACATCTCATAATAAACCTACACACAAGATGTAATACAATTAAATGAGAACATTTTAACCTGCATTTTAAGTATTGAAAACATAATCCTTCCATGGTCAGCGGCCGTATCAAGCGTCTCAGAGTAGGAGTGCTGATCTAGAATCAGGTCCCCCCTATCCACGTAATCATATTCATTGTGATCTAAAAGACTAAACTGATCCTAAATCAGCACTCTTACTCTGAAATGCTTGATACACACTGCCCAAGTTCTTACCTAATGGGGGATTTAGGCGATTTGGGCCCTGCGGCTCTGCTTCTGGGATGGTGGGCGGGTACAGGAGGGGGCTGTGTGGGTTTGAAGGAGGGTGAAGGGGGCACTCTTGGCGGGACTGGTGGTAGTGGCAGTGGGAAGATGGGGGACACTGGAGGCCCAGGTAATACTGGAGGTAGTGGTGGTAGAGGAGCAGTCTTACAGCCTCTAGGCCCCATCACACTGGTCCTTTTACTCACCGGGGGAGGCAGAGCAGCAGGTGGAACAGCTGTGGGAAGCACTGGATGGAGACAAGGGAGTGATATCAATAAATCAATCAAATGTATTTAAAAAAAAGTTTAACATCGGCAGTTGTAACAAAGTGCTTATACAGCGCTTATATCTTGTTGTTGTGCCAGCAGTGCAGTACATCATGTGTGAGGGATAGGTTAGGAGCTAGTACTAACGGGTAATATAATGTAGTACACTTACCATTCATGGAGCTGTTACGCTCCAGGATGTGAGGGTTTGGGGGGTCTGAGCAGGACCTCTGTCTACCCAACACCTCCATAGGAGCCTGCTTCCACCCTGGGCCTGCAAGGTTACAGTCATAGGGTCAATCATTTATTTACAGTGCCTTTGGAAAGTTTTCAGACCCCTTGACTTTTCCCACATTTTGTTAGGTTACAGCCTTATTCTAAAATTGATTAAATAGTTAGTTTTTTACTCATCAATCTACACACAATACCCCATAATGACAAAGCAAAAACAGGTTTTTAGAAACTTTTGCTAATTTATTACAAATAAAAAAATAGAAATATCACATTTACATAAGTATTCAGACCCTTTACTCAGTACTTTGTTGAAGCACCTTTGGCAGCGATTACAGCCTCAAGTCTTCTTGGGTATGACGCTACAAGCTTAGCACACCTGTATTTGGGGAGTTTCTCCCATTCTTCTCTGCAGATCCTCTCAAGCTCTGTCAGGTTGGATGGGGAGCGTTGCTGCACAGCTACTTTCAGGTCTCTCCAGAGATGTTCGATCAGGTTTAGGTTCGGGCTCTGGCTGGGCCACTCAAGGACATTCAGAGACTTGTCCCGAAGCCATTCCTGCATTGTCGGTCTTGACTGTGTGCTTAGGGTCGTTGTCCTGTTGGAAGGTGAACCTTCGCCCCAGTCTGAGGTCCTGTGAGCTCTGGAGCAGGTTTTCATCAAGGATATCTCTGTACTTTGCTTCACTGTAGGGATTGTGCCAGGTTTCCTCCAGATGTGACGCTTGGCATTCAGGCCAAAGCGTTAAATCTTGGTTTCATCAGACCAGAGAATCTGGTTGGTGGTCTGAGAGTCTTTAGGTGCCTTTTGGTAAACTACAAGCGGGCTGTCATGTGCCTTTTACTGAGGAGTGGCTTCTGTCTGGCCACTCTACCATAAAGGCCTGATTGGTGGAGTGCTGCAGAGATGGTTGTCCTTCTGGAAGGTTCTCCCATCTCCACAGAGGAACTCTAGAGCTCTGTCAGAGTAACCATCGGGTTCTTGGTCACCTCCCTGACCAAGGCTCTTCTCCCCCGATTGCTCAGTTTGGCCGGGCGGCCAGCTCTAGGAAGAGTCTTGGTGGTTCCAAGCTTCTTCCATTTAAGAATGATGGAGGCCACTGTGTTCTTGGGGATCTTCAATGCTGTAGACATTTTTTGGTACCCTTCCCCAGATCTGTGCCTCAACACAATCCTGTCTCGGAGCTCTACGGACAATTCCTTCGACCTCATGGCTTGGTTTTTGCTCTGACATGCACTGTCAACTGTGGGACCTTATATAGACAGGTGTGTGCCTTTCCAAATCATGTCCAATCAATTTAATTTACCACAGGTGGACTCCAATAAAGTTGTAGAAACATCAAGGATGATCAATGGAAACAGGATGCACCTGAGCTCATTTTCGAGTCTCATAGCAAAGGGTCTGAATACTTATATAAATAATTTCTGAAAACCTGTTTTTGCTTTGTTATTATGAGGTATTGTGTGTAGATTGCTGAGGATATAATTGTTTTTCTTCGAATAAGGCTGTAACGTAACAAAATGTGGAAAAAGTCAAGGGGTTTGAATACTTTCCGAAGGCACTGTATACTACAGTTTAGCATCTAATGTTTAGTTCACTATTCCAGCAACCATGTCAAGGACCTATAATCCATGACCTAGTGCAGGGCTGTTTAATTCTGGTCTTGGAGGGCCGAAACATTTCCGGTTTATATTTCTAACTTGGAGTTGATTGCACTCAGCTGGTGACGCAGGCCTGAATCAGGCCTTGATTAGGAGACTGAAAACCTAAAAAAGTGTTTTGGCCCACCAGGGCTGGAATTGAACAGCTCTGACCTACAGCGTGATCTATGACCTATGCTCTATGACCTATGGCCTATGCACATTGCCAATGGACTGACCTTTGCTGGCGTTCCTGGGGGGCAGGGGTGGGATGTGTACCCCCAGTCCCCCTGCTACCCCTGGCATGCCGGGGGGAAGGGGGCTGAGGTCCAGGATGGTGCCGTAGGTCTCATTGTTCATCATCATGCTGGGGACATGGGCTCGCTGCTTGTCCCTGGCCAGGCTGGCTGCATTGCGGGCCAGGGAGGCCATGTTGAGACCACCAGGCACGGGACCCATGGGACCATTGCCTGGGACAAAACAGCTGAATGGACGCTCCTGCTCTGACCGTCTGTGAGGGATGGGCTGCGTATGGGGGATAAAGAGTGTAAGTAAGCTAGTGTAGTATAAGCTAGTATGCTATTGATGTAATTTATTCTAGCTAGCGATGAGCACAACTGAGGTTGAAGTACTATAGTACTGACTCAAGTACTGACTCGTGTATAAAAGAACTAAACTAATACAGCAGGCAGTTCAGGTTTCCCTGGTATGCCATAAAACCATGGTTAGAAGAATCTGTGAATTCTATAAGAGTTCTATATGAGTTTTGAGTCACCTTGTCCTCCATCTCATCTTCGCTCTCGTCCAGGTCGTCATCGTTGTTTTGGAGCCGCCACTCATATTCCACGTGCACATGGACGTTAAACTTCCCCGTCACAGCCTGGGTCAGCTGGACAGCACAAAGACAGTCAACCTTTACTATTACCCACGTTGATAAAATAGAACCCTGGACCATGCTCTAAGACAGTGGGGTCATCATATTCCACGTAGGTGCCACACATCGGTGGTGGATGAGGTGAGTTTTCCCCTTACTTTGTAAAGTGCTTTGAGAACCTAGATGGAAAAGCGCTCTATAAATCCAATCAATTATTATTAGTATATTGTTACAGTGGTCAAATCCATATTGTTACAGTGGTCAAATCCATATGGCCTTTAGATTCCATTCAAAGACTGCACTCACCAGCTCCTCACACTGCTTATGTCTGAGGCGCTTGGCGATGTCCATTGGTGTTTCTCCTGCCTCGTTGGCTGCACACAGACAGACAAACCAATTTATGTGTTTCTATGGGACTTGAGTCCGGACTATAAAGGGAATATGGTGCCATTTGGGACAAGCCATGATACTAGCAGGGTACTTACCAATACTGACCGAGGCCCTGCCCCGCAGCAGCAGTTTCAGACACTCGCTGTTGTCTGTCAGGCAGCAGTAGTGCAGCGCCGTGCTCCCTTTGGCTGTCTGCCTATCCAGGTTCCCACTGACACAGACCAGACACACAACTGGGGTTAGGACATTCACCACAAGGGGGCAACACTTCGCTTCATCGACATCAACCAAGTAAATAAATATGTTTAATCTGAGAGAACAATTTCTGCTCATATCTACAAGTTTTTTTTTTTTTACCATTAAAATATTTTAGATGACTTCCCCCTCTTCACATTTGAGATGTTTGCTTCTGCTTTTAAGTTGTTTGTTTCTGCTTTTATGAGACATAAACCCTTAAATTAGTACCTGTTCTGGGCCAGGAAGTCCACAAAATGGAGGGAGTTGCGGTCCACCATTCGTACTGCTAGATGTAGTGCTGTCTCACCCGGTTCCTGAGAGCATGGACAAATATACTACATAACCAAAAGTATGTGGACACCTGCTCGTCGAACATCTCATTCCAAAATCATGGGCATTAATATGGAGTTGGTCCCCCCTTTGCTGCTATAACAGCCTCCACCCTTCTGGGAAGGCTTTCCACTAGATGTTGGTCACAAGATGTTGGGCGATTAGGCCTGGCTCGCAGTTGGCATTCCAATTCATCCCAAAGGTTTTCGATGGGTTTGAGGTCAGGGCTCTGTGCAGGCCAGTCAAGTTCTTCCACACCGACTTTGACAAACCGTTTCTGTATGGACCTCGCTTTGTGCACGGGGGCATAGTATTGCTGAAACAGGAAAGGGCCTTCCCCAAACTGTTGCCACAAAGCAAAGTTGGAAGCACAGAATCGTCTAGAATGTCATTGTATGCTGTAGCGTTAAGATTTCCCTTCACTGGAACTAAGGGGCCTAGCTCAAACCAAGAAAAACAGCCCCAGACCATTATTCCTCCTCCACCAAACTTTACAGTTGGCACTATGCATTCAGGCAGGTAGCGTTCTCCTGGCATCCGCCAAACCCAGATTCGTCCATCGGACTGCCAGATGGTGAAGCGTGATTCATCACTTTAGAATGCGTTTCCACTACTCCAGAGTCCAATGGTCGGCGAGCTTTACACCACTCCAGCTGACGCTTGGCATTGCGCATGGTGATCTTAAGCTTGTGTGTGGCTGCTCAGCCATGGAAACCCATTTCATGAAGCTCCCGACGAACAGTTCTTGTGCTGACGTTGCTTCCAGAAGCAGTTTGGAACTCGGTAGTGAGTATTGCACTGAAGACAGACGATTTTTACATGCTACACGCCCACAGCACTCAACGGTCCTGTTCTGCTTCACGGCTGAGAGCCGTTGTTGCTCCTTGACGTTTCCACTTCACAATAACAGCACATACAGTTTACCAGGACAGCTCTAGCAGGGCAGAAATGTGACAAACTGACTTGTTGGAAAGGTGGCATCCTATGAGGGTGCCACGTTATTTTCTTCAGTAAGGCCATTGTACTGCCAATGTTTGTCTATGGTGTTTGCATGGCTGTGTGCTCGATTTTATACACCTGTCAGCAACGGGTGTGGCTGAAATAGCCTAATCCACTAATTTGAATACTTTTGTATATACAGTCGGGAAGAAAAGTATTCAGTCAGCCACCAATTGTGCAAGTTCTCCCACTTAAAAAGATGAGAGAGGCCTGTAATTTTCATCATAGGTACACGTCAACTATGACAGACAAATTGAGAAAAGAAATTCCAGAAAACAACATTGTAGGATTTTTTATGAATTTATTTGCAAATTATGGTGGAAAATAAGTATTTGGTCACCTACAAACAAGCAAGATTTCTGGCTCTCACAGACCTGTAACTTCTTCTTTAAGAGGCTCCTCTGTCCTCTACTCGTTACCTGTATTAATAGCACCTGTTTGAACTTGTTATCAGTATAAAAGACACCTGTCCACAACCTCAAACAGTCACACTCCAAACTCCACTATGACCAAGACCAAAGAGCTGTCAAAGGACACCAGAAACAAAATTGTAGACCTGCACCAGGCTGGGAAGACTGAATGTGCAATAGGTAAGCAGCTTGGTTTGAAGAAATCAACTGTGGGAGCAATTATTAGGAAATGGAAGACATACAAGACCACTGATAATCTCCCTCGATCTGGGGCTCCACGCAAGATCTCACCCTGTGGGGTCAAAATGATCACAAGTGAGCAAAAATCCCAGAACCACACGGGGGGACCTAGTGAATGACCTGCAGAGAGCTGGGACCAAAGTAACAAAGCCTACCATCAGTAACACACTACGCCGCCAGGGACTCAAATCCTGCAGTGCCAGACGTGTCCCCCTGCTTAAGCCAGTACATGTCCAGGCCCGTCTGAAGTTTGCTAGAGTGCATTTGGATGATCCAGAAGAGGATTGGGAGAATGTCATATGGTCAGATGAAACCAAAATAGAACTTTTTGGTAAAAACTCAACTCGTCGTGTTTGGAGGACAAAGAATGCTGAGTTGCATCCAAAGAACACCATACCTACTGTGAAGCATGGGGGTGGAAACATTATGCTTTGGGGCTGTTTTTCTGCAAAGGGACCAGGACGACTGATCCGTGTAAAGGAAAGAATGAATGGGGCCATGTATCGTGAGATTTTGAGTGAAAACCTCCTTCCATCAGCAAGGGCATTGAAGATGAAACGTGGCTGGGTCTTTCAGCATGACAATGATCCCAAACACACCACCCGGGCAACGAAGGAGTGGCTTCGTAAGAAGCATTTCAAGGTCCTGGAGTGGCCTAGCCAGTCTCCAGATCTCAACCCCATAGAAAATCTTTGGAGGGAGTTGAAAATCCGTGTTGCCCAGCGACAGCCCCAAAACATCACTGCTCTAGAGGAGATCTGCATGGAGGAATGGGCCAAAATACCAGCAACAGTGTGTGAAAACCTTGTGAAGACTTACAGAAAACGTTTGACCTGTGTCATTGCCAACAAAGGGTATATAACAAAGTATTGAGAAACTTTTGTTATTGACCAAATACTTATTTTTTTTTGGATTTCTTTTTGGAATTTTGTCTGTCATAGTTCACGTGTACCTATGATGAAAATTACAGGCCTCTCTCATCTTTTTAAGTGGGAGAACTTGCACAATTGGTGGCTGACTAAATACTTTTTCCCCCACTGTATAGTGTAGCAAAACGTGTATTACAGAAGCATACGTACATACCGGTAAAATATCTGTGTATGTTTCAATCAGAGGTATTAAAATATGACAAATCAGCAGAGTTTTTTAGTCCATGAGGGACTTCAACAAAGACTAATGTTTCTTCCATGTCAGTGTTAGAAGGCTGTCATGTGGGGGCGTGGTGCAGCAGTAATGGTAGAGACTGCCATGCACATATTTCCCACAGTGGCATGGGTACCAATCTCCCGACACTATACTTTTTACCTGCGTTCCCTCTACAAGGTAGCCTAGTGGTTAGAGCGTTGGGCCAGTAACCGAAAGGTCGCTGGTTCGAATTCCTGATACGACTAGGTGAAAAATCTGTCGATGTGCACTTGTGCAAGGCACTTAACCCTAATTGCTCCTGTAAATCGCTCTGGATGAGAGCATCTGCTAAATTGTAAAATGTACAATCTGTCCCCCGCTTATCTTCCGGCTGTCTAAATAAATGTGAAAAAGAAATGAAAAAAAAAACAAGAAGGCAATGTGATTCATCTCACATGCTCATTGGCCAGCGGTATGGTCTCCATCAGGTCCTCTCCTTCAGCGTAAACCTGGATGAGGGAGAGAATGTTTTGGGTCTTCACCGCCTCACAAAGGACGTGCAGCCTGGACTCCGCGTCCGCACACTTCCTCTGAACAAACTTCTTCTCTGTGTACTTGGCTGTGATGTAGTCCTTCCGCGTCTGCCTGAGGGAGACAAGAGCCCAGACAGACAGATGATGAACTACCAAGAGACAGGAAATCTGAGTTTAAGGCCAAGTCCCAAATGGCACCCTATCCCCTATATAGTGCACTGATTTTGACCAGGGTCCCCGTCAAAAGTAGTGCACTATATAGGGAATAAGGTTCCATTTGGGATGGACCCTAAAACATTCAGGACTATACATAGTATAACAAGAAGTTAAATGTATTGAATGTATTCAGTCAGTGTTGTTCCTGTTATGGTGTTGAAGGAGGGAGAGAAGGGGGTGTGGTTTGCCCGACTGTCTGTCACTCACATGTCACTTGAGGGGTTGGGTTTGGTCACGCCCTGTGCAGACAGGTCCGCTTCCATGATCTCATTGAAACCTACATTGCCCACATTCTTAGCCAGCTGGGGAAGACCAGGTAGCGCACACGTAAATATGGTATCTATTCAGACCCTATTAATCTAGCCTGGTTCCAGATCTGTTTGTGCTGTATAGCCAATGACCATAGGAGTTGGCAAGACAGCACAAACAGATCTGGGACCAGGCTACTACTAATCCTACAAAAATAGTACAACAGCTTATACAATCAGAGCTGGGTTCAAATACTATTTGAAATAATCAAAACTGCTTGATTGAGCTTCCCTGGCATCTACCCATCTGGCACTCCAGGCAGGCTAAAGCAAAACAAATAAAATATGTAAAACATTTAAAATAGTATTTTAACCCATGTTTGTATACAATGCAACCATAAAAGCCTGTGATATTTACCAGGAGGTCTGCGGTTCCCAGGACGTCCAGTGTGAGAGACTGTATTCTAGAATAGTGGACGCCCATCTCCCTGTGGATTCCAGAACACTCGATGCAGATGAGCACTCCCAGGTTAGTGGAGAGCCAGGTGGGCTCTGAAGACAGAGATAGAGGATATTATCAGTGTTCAGACTAGTGTGCTGTGGCCTGGGGTGGTCTGGCGGTTGCTGCCACTGCCTTCGGAGCACACATGTATGCAAGTGCTGGCGTAGAGTTGAATCCAGCCCTTGACCTGGCACACCATTTCTCCTCTTTAAAAATGTACTTGAAAATCCTTAAAAAACTATATTTAAAAAAGACTAGTGTGCTTCCACTATAAGTTCTCACATGAAATAGTTGTACCGTTAAATAAAGTTCCACTCCTAAGAGTGAGCTGTAGTATATTGATGCACTATTTTCATTGTCCTATCAGTATAAATTCAACACATGGGATATATACAGTACCAGTCAAAAGTGAGGACACATCTACTCATTCAATTTTATTTTTTATTTTTACTATTTTCTACATTGTAGTATAATAGTGAAGACATCAAAACTATGAAATAACACACATGGAATCATGTAGTAACCAAAAAAGTGTTAAACAAATCAAAATACACTGCTCAAAAAAATTAAGGGAACACTTAAACAACACAATGTAACTCCAAGTCAATCACACTTCTGTGAAATCAAACTGTCCACTTAGGAAGCAACACTGATTGACAATACATTTCACATGCTGTTGTGCAAATGGAATAGACAACAGGTGGAAATTATAGGCAATTAGCAAGACACCCCCAATAAAGAAGTGGTTCTGCAGGTGGTGACCACAGACCACTTCTCAGTTCCTATACTTCTTGGCTGATGTTTTGGTCACTTTTGAATGCTGGCGGTGCTTTCACTCTAGTGGTAGCATGAGACAGAGTCTACAACCCACACAAGTGGCTCAGGTAGTGCAGCTCATCCAGGATGGCACATCAATGCGAGCTGTGGTAAGAAGGTTTGCTGTGTCTGTCAGCGTAGTGTCCAGAGCATGGAGGCGCTACCAGGAGACAGGCCAGTACATCAGGAGACGTGGAGGAGGCCGCAGGAGGGCAACAACCCAGCAGCAGGACCGCTACCTTCGCCTTTGTGCAAGGAGGAGCAGGAGGAGGACTGCCAGAGCCCTGCAAAATGACCTCCAGCAGGCCACAAATGTGCATGTGTCTGCTCAAACGGTCAGAAACAGACTCCATCAGGGTGGTATGAGGGCCCGACGTCCACAGGTGGGGGTTGTGCTTACAGCCCAACACCGTGCAGGACGTTTGGCATTTGCCAGAGAACACCAAGATTGGCAAATTCGCCACTGGCGCCCTGTGCTCTTCACAGATGAAAGCAGGTTCACACTGAGCACATGTGACAGATGTGACAGAGTCTGGAGACGCCGTGGAGAACGTTCTGCTGCCTGCAACATCCTCCAGCATGACCGGTTTGGCGGAGGGTCAGTCATGGTGTGGAGTGGCATTTCTTTGGGGGGCCGCACAGCCCTCCATGTGCTCGCCAGAGGTAGCCTGACTGCCATTAGGTACCGAGATGAGATCCTCAGACCCCTTGTGAGACCATATGCTGGTGCGGTTGACCCTGGGTTCCTCCTAATGCAAGACAATGCTAGACCTCATGTGGCTGGAGTGTGTCAGCAGTTCCTGCAAGAGGAAGGCATTGATGCTATGGACCGCCAGTTCCCCAGACCTGAATCCAATTGAGCACATCTGGGACATCATGTCTCGCTCCATCCACCAACGCCACGTTGCACCACAGACTGTCCAGGAGTTGGCGGATGCTTTAGTCCAGGTCTGGGAGGAGATCCCTCAGGAGACCATCCGCCACCTCATCAGGAGCATGCCCAGGCGTTGTAGGGAGGTCATACAGGCACGTGGAGGCCACACACTACTGAGCCTCATTTTGACTTGTTTTAAGGACATTACATCAAAGTTGGATCAGCCTGTAGTGTGGTTTTCCACTTTAATTTTGAGGGTGACTCCAAATCCAGACCTCCATGGGTTGATACATTTGATTTCCATTGATAATTTTTGTGTGATTTTGTTGTCAGCACATTCAACTAAGGAAAGAAAAAAGTATTTAATAAGATTATTTCATTCATTCAGATCTAGGATGTGTTTGTCACGGTTTCTGCCGAGGCTGCTCCTTCTCCTTGTTCGGGCAGGCTTCGGCGGTCGTCGTCCCCGGAGTACTAGCTGCCACCGTTCGTTGTTTCTGTGTTCGTTTGGTTTGGTCTGTTTTGGTACACCTGTTTCTCATTTTGTCTTGATTATGTGTCCTTTAAGTTCTCGTTGTTTCTGTCTTGTGGTTGTGTGTAGTTGTTCATTTGTCAGCAGGTGTTTCCATGTCTAGTTTGTGCTCTATTGCTGTAGAGAGTCCGCACTATTGTGCGTGTTAAGTGTATTACGCTGAGTGCGTTATTTTTCTTGTGCCTCCGGCTCTGTTTGTAGCCGTTCATTCTGTGGACTTTATTAAAGTATTTTTGGACTACTTCTGCATCCTGCATCTGATTTCCACACCACCCCTACGCCAGCTCTGACAGAACTACACACCACTCATGGAATCAGCAGGAGCAGCAGCAGCGACCGAGTCATGGGAGGAGCGCGTCCGCGGACAGGATGACAGGATAGCTCAAATCACCAACGCTCTGCAGGGAGTAATGAATACCCTGCATCGCCTGGAGACCAGTTGGGCACCCACGCCTCCTCCCACATTACCACCAGCACCGGTCAGTCCCTTTGTCCATGCTCCGGAACCCAGTGGGAATCGGCTCTCGCTCCCGAGGGCGTATGATGGTACCGCTGCCGGGTGTCAAGGATTCCTCCTACAAGTTGAACTCTACCTCGCCACCGTACACCCGGTGCCCTCGGGACACGAGAGCGTTTCCGCCCTCATCTCCTGTCTCACCGGCAAGGCGTTGGAGTGGGCCAACGCCGAATGGAGGAGAATAGACCCCGCGACGAGCACCTATGCGGAGTTCTCCCATCGCTTCAGGGCTGTATTCGACCATCCACCTGAGGGGAAGGCGGCGGGAGAACGTCTATTCTACCTCCGACAGGGGAAGAGGAGCGCCCAGGAGTTTGCACTGGAGTTCCGGACTCTAGCGGCAGACGCAGGGTGGAATGAGCGGGCCCTCATAGACCACTTCCGCTGCAGCCTACGGGAGGACGTCCGTCGTGAGTTGGCCTGCAGGGACACCACCCTCACGTTTGACCAGTTTGTCGACATGGCCATTCGCCTAGACACCCTACTGGCCACCCGCGTACGTCCTGAGTGGGGGTCGTCCATTCCACCCTCCAGCACCTCTGAGCCTAGTTCTATGGAGCTCGGGGGTGCTGGCGCTAGAGAGGAGAGGAGAAGGAGCCCTAGGGGGACCAACCCCTGTACCAACTGTGGCCGTGGAGGACACACTGCGGCCAGGTGCTGGGGGGGTCTCCTAGGGGACGAGACGGCAGGCCACTTACTGGGGAGTCCTTCCAGGTGAGTAGGTGCCCCACTTACCCAGAGCGCTCTGTTGTGCACCTAACCATACCTGTTTGCTTCCCACAGGTTGCACCTCGTTCCCAGCATAAGGCGCTAGTAGATTCAGGCACAGATGGGAATTTTATAGATCGGAGATTTTGTGCAGAGTTAGGGATTCCCCTCCTTCCTGTCAACAAACCTTTCCCTGTACATGCTCTAGATAGCCGTCCGTTGGGATCGGGGTTGATTAGGGAGGTCACAGCTCCACTTAGGATGGGGACGCAGGAGGGTCATGAGGAGACTATACAGCTATATCTTATTGACTCTCCTGCGTATCCGGTGGTGCTGGGGCTTCCCTGGTTGATTACCCATAATCCATCTATTTCGTGGCAACAGAGGGCTCTTAAGGAGTGGTCTGCCCAGTGTGTAGGGCGATGTCTGGGCGTTTCCGTAGGGGCGACCTCGGTGGAGAGTCCAAACCAAGTGCCCGCATTGCACATTCCCCCCGAGTATGAGGATTTAGCACTGGTGTTTAGTAAGGCGAAGGCGACGCAGTTGCCACCACATAGACAGGGGGATTGTGCGATAGACCTCCAGGTAGGAGCTGCGCTTCCGCGGAGCCATGTGTATCCTTTGTCTCAAGAGGAGAAGAGAGCTATGGAGACTTACATAGCCGAGTCTCTGAGACAGGGATACATACGGCCCTCCACTTCCCCTGCGTCCTCTAGTTTCTTTTTTGTGAAGAAAAAGGATGGAGGTTTGCGCCCGTGTATTGATTACCGCAGTCTCAATCAGATTACTGTGAAATACAGTTATCCACTCCCTCTGATTGCGAGTCTTTACACGGGCGCGGTTCTTCACAAAATTGGACCTCAGGAGCGCATACAACTTGGTGCATATTAGGGAGGGTGACGAATGGAAGACAGCATTTAGTACCACCTCGGGTCATTACGAGTATCTCGTCATGCCATACGGGTTAATGAATGCTCCTTCAGTCTTCCAATCCTTCGTAGATGAGATCTTCCGGGATATGCAGGGGCAAGGAGTGGTCGTGTACATTGACGACATTCTGGTGTATTCTTCTACCCGAGCCGAGCATGTAGCCCTGGTGCGCCGAGTGTTGAGGAGATTGTTGGAGCATGACCTATATGTCAAGGCAGAGAAATGTCTGTTTTTCCAGGAGTCTGTCTCCTTTTTGGGTTATCAGTTGTCTGCGTCAGGGGTAAAGATGGAGGTTGACCGTGTGTCGGCCGTGCGTAATTGGCAAACTCCAACCACTGTTAAAGAGGTGCAGCGGTTCTTGGGCTTTGCGAATTACTACAGGAGGTTTATCCGGGGTTTTGGACAGGTGGCAGCTCCCATAACGTCTCTTCTAAAGGGAGGTCCGGTGCGCTTGCAGTGGTCTGCTGAGGCTGATAGGGCTTTTGGGAGACTGAAGGACCTGTTTACCTCGGCGCCGGTGCTGGCGCATCCGGATCCCGCGCTACCATTCCAGGTCGAAGGTAGACGCGTCAGAAGCCGGTATAGGGGCCGTGCTCTCGCAACGGTCTGGCACGCCCCTGAAACTCCGCCCCTGTGCCTTTTACTCTAAAAAGCTCAGTCCGGCGGAGCGAAATTATGACGTGGGGGACAGGGAGCTGCTAGCCGTGGTCCAGGCCCTAAAGGTGTGGAGGCATTGGCTTGAGGGGGCTCAACACCCTTTCCTCATTTTGACTGACCACCGAAACCTGGAGTACATCCGGGCAGCTAGGAGACTGAACCCTCGCCAGGCTAGGTGGAACATGCTTCTGGCCCAGTTCGTTTTTAAGATCACGTACATCCCTGGGTCCCAGAACGGTAAGGCAGATGCCCTGTCCCGGCGGTATGACACGGAGGAGAGGTCCGTTGAGCCCACACCCATACTCCTGCCGTCTTGCCTGGTGGCACCGGTGGTGTGGGAGGTCGATTCCGAAATCGAGCGGGCGTTGCGTACCGATCCTAGCCCTCCACAGTGTCCTGTGGGTCGGACGTACGTTCCGCTCGAGGTTCGGGATCGACTTATATATTGGGCTCACACGTCACCCTCCTCTGGACATCCAGGGATTGGCCGGACGGTGCACTGCCTTAGCACTAAGTACTGGTGGCCAACGTTAGCCAGGGATGTGAGGGTTTAGCTACAACCCCTGCCCGTTCCACAACGACCCTGGTCTCACCTCTCGGTTGATTTTGTTACTGACCTTCCCCCCTCCCAGGGAAATACCACCATCCTGGTCGTTGTGGATCGGTTCTCGAAGGCCTGTCGTCTCCTTCCCATGCCGGGTCTCCCCACTGCCCTACAGACCGCTGAGGCACTATTCACTCACGTCTTCCGGCATTACGGGGTACCCGAGGATATAGTGTCTGATCGAGGCCCCCAGTTCACCTCTCGAGTCTGGAGAGCGTTCATGGAGCGCTTGGGGGTCTCGGTGAGCCTTACCTCGGGGTACCACCCGGAGAGCAATGGGCAGGTTGAACGGGTAAACCAGGATGTGGGTAGGTTTCTGAGGTCGTATTGCCAGGGCCGGCCGGAGGAGTGGGCGAGGTATGTTCCCTGGGCCGAGATGGCCCAGAACTCCCTTCGCCACTCCTCCACCAGACTCACTCCTTTCCAATGTGTACTAGGGTACCAGCCGGCTCTGGCACCTTGGCATCAGAGCCAGATCGAGGCTCCTGCGGTGGATGAGTGGGTGCGGCGCTCAGAGGAGACATGGAACGCTGCTCACGTACATCTGCAGCGGGCCATCCGTCGACACAAGGCGAGCGCCGATCTCCACCGCAGTGAGGGACCGGTGTACGCACCGGGAGATCGAGTCTGGCTCTCGACCAGAAACCTGCCCCTCCGCCTGCCCTGCCGGAAGCTGGGTCGGCGGTTTGTGGGGCCTTTTAAAGTCCTGAGGAGGTTGAACGAGGTGTGTTACAGATTACAACTTCCTATTGATTATAAGAATATTAACCCCTCGTTCCATGTGTCTCTCCTCAGGCCGGTGGTAGCTGGTCCACTCCAGGACTGTGAGATAGCAGAGACTCCTCCGCCCCCACATCGAGGGGGCTCCGGCGTACACAGTTCGGTCCATCCTGGATTCGAGACGCCGGATGGGGGGTCTCCAATATCTCGTGGAGTGGGAGGGGTACGGTCCGGAGGAGCGGTGCTGGGTGCCGAGGAGAGATGTCTTAGACCCGTCCCTTCTGACTGAGTTCCATCGTGGTCATCCCACGCGCCCTGCTCCGCGTCCTCCTGGTCGTCCCCGAGGCCGGGGTCGGCGCACGGCTGGAGCCACGCGTCAAGGGGGGGGTACTGTCACGGTTTCTGCCGAGGCTGCTCCTTCTCCTTGTTCGGGCAGGCTTCGGCGGTCGTCGTCCCCGGAGTACTAGCTGCCACCGTTCGTTGTTTCTGTGTTCGTTTGGTTTGGTCTGTTTTGGTACACCTGTTTCTCATTTTGTCTTGATTATGTGTCCTTTAAGTTCTCGTTGTTTCTGTCTTGTGGTTGTGTGTAGTTGTTCATTTGTCAGCAGGTGTTTCCATGTCTAGTTTGTGCTCTATTGCTGTAGAGAGTCCGCACTATTGTGCGTGTTTAGTGTATTACGCTGAGTGCGTTATTTTTCTTGTGCCTCCGGCTCTGTTTGTAGCCGTTCATTCTGTGGACTTTATTAAAGTATTTTTGGACTACTTCTGCATCCTGCATCTGATTTCCACACCACCCCTACGCCAGCTCTGACAGTGTTGTTTAAGTGTTCCCTTAATTTTTTTTAGCAGTGTATATTTTAGATTTTAGATTATTCAAAGTAGCCACCCAGCCTTGGTGACAGCTTTGCACACTCTTCGCATTCTCTCAACCAGCTTCACCTGGAATGCTTTTCCAACAGTCTTGAAGGAGTTCCTACATATGCTGAGCACTTGTTGGCTGCTTTTCCTTCAATCTGCGGTCCAACTCATCCAAATTCATCTCAATTGGGTTGAAGTCAGGTGATTGTGGAGGCCAGGTCATCTGAAGCAGTACTCCATCACTCTCCTTCTTGGTCTGATAGCCCTTACACAGCCTGGAGGTGTGTTTTGGGTCATTGTCCTGTTGAAAAACAAATGATAGTCCCACTAAGCGCAAACCAGATGGGATGGCGTATTGCTGCAGAATGCTGTGGTAGCCATGCTGGTTAAGTGTGCCTTGAATTCTAAATAAATCACAGACAGTGTCACCAGCAAAGCACCCCCCACACCATCACACCTCCTCCTCCATGCTTTACGGTGTGAACCACACATGCAGAGATCATCCGTTCACCTACTCTGCGTCTCACAAAGACACAGCGGTTGGAACCAAAAATCTCACATTTGGACTCATCAGACCAAAGGACAGATTTCCACCGGTCTAATGTCCATTGCTCGTGTTTCTTGGCCCAAGCAAGTCTCTTCTTCTTATTGGTGTCCTTTAGTAGTGGTTTCTTTGCAGCAATTTGACCATGAAGGCCTGATTCACGCAGTCTCCTCTGAACAGTTGATGTTGAGATGTGTCTGTTACTTGAATTGGGCTGCAATTTCTGAGGCTGGTAACTCTAATGCACTTATCCTCTGCAGCAGAGGTAACTTTGGGTCTTCCTTTCCTGTGGCGCTCCTCATGAGAGCCAGTTTCATCATAGTGCTTGATAGTTTTTGCGACTGCACTTGAAGAAACGTTCAAAGTTCTTGAAATGTTCCGGACTGACTGACCTTCATGTCTTAAAGTAATGGACTGTAGTTTCTCTTTGCTTATTTGAGCTGTTCCTGCCATAATATGGACTTGGTCTTTTACCAAATAGGGCTATCTTCTGTATACCACCCCTATCTTGTCACAACACAACTGATTGGCTCAAAAACATTAAGAAGGAAATAAATTCCACAAATGAACTTTTAACAAGGCACACCTGCTAATTGAAAGGCATTCCAGGTGACTACCTCATGAAGCTGGTTGAGAGAATGCCAAGAGTGTGCAAAGCTGTCATCAAGGCAAAGGGTGGCTACTTTGAAGAATCTTAAATCTAAAATATATTTTGCTTTTTTTAACACTTTTTTGGTTACTACATGATTCCATATGTGTTATTTCATAGTTTTGATGTCTTCACTATTATTCTACAATGTAGAAAATTGTAAAAATAAAGAAAAACCCTTGAATGAGAAGGTGTGCCAAACGTTTGACTGGTACTGTAGGCACAGTAGGATTTCAATAACATCTGACCGAAACAGCCAACCCTTTTTCTTCGGTATTTGAGGAACTAGTCTGACCTAACAAAGACTCCTAAGAATGTGTGTGAGCGCATGCAGTGCAGCACATAGAAAAAATAACATGTCAATTGTCAAACCAAGCAAGGTTGTACGTTCAGCCTTGTAAATTACGGAAACCATGTCAGCCCCTCACACATTCACATACTGTATGTACAAGACTGTGTTCATTTTGATATAATACCCGTCTGGGAGGAAGACCACAATAATTTCTTGCTGCCTTTTCCCAGAATGCTCTCTGTGTGTCACTCACTGGGCGCTTCACAGTCGCAGCAGACGTCGTTGCCGCTCATCCTCTTGACCTCGCTGACGATGGCCTTGGTCAGCTCCTGCACTATGTTGTTCTCCCCTCTGTCCTGGTCTCCTTTGAAGGCATCGTTTAGGGCCTCCTCCTTACTGTTCTGCAGGACTGAGATCCATCTGAAAACACAGGCAGGGTCAGCCGAGAGAACCAGTGAGCTTGGAGGGCAAAGTGTGCGTTCTAAATGGCACCCTATTCCATTTACATTTTAGTCATTTAGCAGACGCTCTTATCCAGAGCGACTTACAGTTAGTGAATACATATTTTTATTTTTATTGTTTTTATACTGCCCCCCCGTGGGAATCAAACCCACAACCCTGGCGTTGCAAACACCATGCTCTATCAACTGAGCTACATCCCTGCCGGCCATTCCCTCCCCTACCCTGGACGACGCTGGGCCAATTGTGCGCCGCCCATGAGTCTCCCGGTCGCGGCCGGCTGCGACAGAGCCTGGATTCGAACCAGGATCTCTAGTGGCACAGTTAGCACTGCGATGCAGTGCCTTAGACCACTGCGCCACTCAGGAGCTTTGACCAGAGTCAAGTGCACTATATAGGGAATAGGGTGCCATTTGGAATCCATACAACGTCAAAGAGGGTCTGAGAAGAGACCAATTAAATGTACCCCCTGTATCATATAGACACATAATGAAGGGCACCAAGTTATTTTAATTTTGGAAATCTTTTCCAAAGTATTCCCATAATAGACAGATATACTATATATACAAAAGTATGTGGACACCCCTTCAAATGAGAGGATTTGGCTATTTTTAGCCACACCCGTTGCTGACAGGTGTATAGAATCAAGCACACAGCCATGCAATCTCCATAGACAAACATTGGCCGTAGAATAGCCTTACTGAAGAGCTCAGTGACTTTCAATGTGGCACCGTCATAGGATGCCACCTTTCCAACAAGTCAGTTCATCAAATTTCTGCTCTGCTAGAGCTGCCCCGGTCAACTGTAAGTGCTGTTATTGTGAAGTGGAAACGTCTAGGAGCAACAGCAACTCAGCCCGAAGTGGTAGGCCACACAAGGCCACAGAACGGGACCGCCGAGTGCTGAAGCACGTAGCGCGTAAACATCGTCTGTCCTCAGTTTCAACACTCACCACCGAGTTCCAAACTGCCTCTGGAAGCAACGTCAGCACAATAACTGTTTGTCAGGAGCTTCATAAAATGGGTTTCCATGGCCAAGCAGCCGCACACAAGCCTAAGATCACCATGCGCAAAGCCAAGCGTCGGCTGGAGTGGTGTAAAGCTCGCCGCCATTGGACTCTGGAGCAGTGACGAATCTGGGTTTGGCGGATGCCAGGAGAACGCTACCTGCCCCAATGCATAGTGCCAACTGTAAAGTTTGGTGGAGGAGGAATAATAGTCTGGGGCTGTTTTTCATGGTTTAGGCTAGGCCCCTTAGTTCCAGTGAAGGGAAATCTTAACACTACAGAATACAATTAAATTCTAGACGATTCTGTGCTTCAGTTTGGGGAAGGCCCTTTCCTGTTTCAGCATGAAAATGCCCCCTGTGCACAAATCGAGGTCCATACAGAAACGGCTTGTCGGGATCGGTGTGGAGGAACTTGACTGGCCTGCACAGAGCCCTGACCTCAACTCCATCGAACACCTTTGGGATGAATTGGAACACTGACTGCAAGCCAGGCCTAATCGCCAAACATCAGTCCCCGCAGCTATGTTCCAACATGTAGTGGAAAGCCTTCCCAGAAGAGTGGAGGCTGTTATAGCGGCAAAGGGAGGGACCAACTCCATATTAATGCCCATGATTTTGGAATGAGATGTTCAATTAGCAGGTGTCCACATACTTTTGGTCATGTAGTGTATATGTGATCGTATACACATTTTAAATGATGATGTGTTGGTCAAATATTATGTCTGTTTGGGCTTCTTGCGGTCAATTTGTAGTCTACATATGATTTGTAATTATGTTCCGGCCTCCATCCACTCAAGAAAGAAATCGGCCCCTGGCTGAATCTAGTTGTTGATCCCTGATATAGGGTGTCCAATCAAAAGCACATATTTTAACCTATGTTAATTCCTCTGAGAAAACCAATGGTCCAAACCTCATGTGTCTATCATAATCCGTTCAAAAGCTGTTGGAGTTTGTAGCTTTGTAGGATGGCCAAAATTAGGGTGACTAAATCAATGGAGGCCAGAGAAAACAATAGGTAAAACAATCTGGAAAATAGCATTGCATCAGCTGACAGGCTCACCGTTAAACTCATCATCTTTCTTCTCAAATTCGGAGGACATACAGTTGAAGTCGGAAGTTTACATACACCTTAGCCAAATACATTTAAACTCAGTTTTTCACAATTCCTGACATTTAATCCTAGTAAAAATTCCCTGTCTTAGGTCAGTTAGGATGATTTATTTCAGCTTTTCTTTCTTTTATCACATTCCCAGTGGGTCAGAAGTTTACATACACTCAATTAGTATTTGGTAGCATTGCCTTTAAATTGTTTAACTTGGGTCAAACGTTTCGGGTAGCCTTCCACAAGCTTCCCACAATAAGTTGGGTGAATTTTGGCCCATTCCTCCTGACAGAGCTGGTGTAACTGAGTCAGGTTTGTAGGCCTCCTTGCTCGCACACACTTTTTCTGCCCACAAATTTTCTATAGGATTGAGGTCAGGGCTTTGTGATGGCCTCTCCAATACCTTTACTTTGTTGTCCTTAAGCCATTTTGCCACAACTCTGGAAGTATGCTTGGGGTCATTGTCCATTTGGAAGACCCATTTGCGACCAAGCTTTAACTTCCTGACTGATGTCTTGAGATGTTGCTTCAATATATCCACATAATTTTCCTTCCTCATGATGCCATCTATTTTGTGAAGTGCACCAGTCCCTTCTGCAGCAAAGCACCCCCACAGCATGATGCTGCCAACCCCGTGCTTCACAGTTGGGATGGTGTTCTTCGGCTTGCAAGCGTCCCCCCTTTTCCTCCAAACATAACGATGGTCATTATGGCCAAACAGTTCTATTTTTGTTTCATCAGACCAGAGGACATTTCTCCAAAAAGTACGATCTTTGTCCCCATGTGCAGTTGCAAACCGTAGTCTGGCTTTTTTTTATGGCGGTTTTGGAGCAGTGGCTTCTTCCTTGCTGAGCGGCCTTTCAGGTTATGTCGATATAGGACTCGTTTTACTGTGGATATAGATACTTTTATACCTGCTTCCTCCAGCATCTTCACAAGGTCCTTTGCTGTTGTTCTGGGATTGATTTGCACTTTTCGCACCAAAGTACGTTCATCTCTAGGAGACAGAACGCGTCTCCTTCCTGAGCGGTATGATGGCTGCATGGTCCCATGGTGTTTATACTTGCGTACTATTGTTTGTACAGATGAACGTGGTACCTTCAGGCATTTGGAAATTGCTCCAAAGGATGGACCAGACTTGTGGAGGTCTACAATTTGGCTGATTTCTTTTGATTTTCCCATGATGTCAAGCAAAGAGGGACTGAGTTTGAAGGTAGGCCTTGACATACATACACAGATACACCTCCAATTGACTCAAATGATGTCAATTAGCCTATCAGAAGCTTCTAAAGCCATGACATCATTTTCTGGAATTTTCCAAGCTGTTTAAAGGCACAGTCAACTTAGTGTATGTAAACTTCTGACCCACTGGAATTGTGATACAGTGAATTATAAGTGAAATAATCTGTCTGTAAACAATTGTTGGAAAAATTACTTGTGTCATGCACAAAGTAGATGTCCTAACCAACTTGCCAAAACTATAGTTTGTTAAAAAAGCCATTTGTGGAGTGGTTGAAAAATGAGTTTTAATGACTCCAACCTAAGTGTATGTAAACTTCCGAATTCAACTGTAAAACAATATAGAGGTAAGATAGAAATCGAGTTTGAGACATGAAATGTAGTATTTTCATATTTTATTATACGCTTTTCAAATGAATGCTATTCTTTTTTTAAAGAATTCTCACAAAAACATGCGTATCTCTGTGAAATGTCAACAGTGCACTGAGCGTACCGCAAGCTTTTTATTTTCAAAGTCTACTACATTTAATTCAGCTTGTGAAAAAGCGTCACTGTTCTGTCAACAGAGCTCGGAGCTTATTATCGGATGTAAGGTTACGAAATCCAAATTTTGGGATATAATGTTAATATAATGTTACAGAAAGATCCCACTCAACGATTCAGACATGAAGAATCATATTTGTCTTGGTAAAATGTATTTATAATTTAAATTTCATCACCAAAGATGGGCAGAGTGGATGGACACCTCACATAATGATGTATACACAATGTTTGCACAGAAACTGGTACAGTGCAAAAGGCACAGACAGTTTACATTGGATCAGTGAACCCCTATGTTACTTACATCTGACACTCAGCCTCTTCCTCAGCTTGAAAGTGATAGGTTCTGTCATCTGTTTGGGTAAACAAAGAATGAGATCAGTTTGAGTAAGAGGTCGTTGTAGTAAGAGAAGCTAGGATACCAGAAGGCATCTACAGTACTACATGGAAGAGTACATGGCTGTCACTGAAAAACTGTAGTCCAGGGTTGCAGAGGTTTGAGATGGAGATGAGCCTCAAAGTGCTGCGTAACTCACGGGAGAAGAGATCAAAGCTTTTCTTCTCATCTGGGTTGAGCTTCACTTGACAGGTTAGCAGGTTGAGTTTAGCTGGTGGTCTGTTCGCCTATGAGAGAGGAGCAGAGAGGGATGAGAGAAGAGTGGACCAGATAATAGGACAAACATTTTAATGCTAAAATGTATCATACAGTATGCATGGAACTTTCCCATAAACTAAGTCAGTTGTGTGATGTCAAACAGTCAAATAACTTCAGAAAAATAACATCATCAAATGCAGCAGTAACCCATAAATGTATTATTGTTGAATGAAATTGTATGCCGGTTACAGCTACATCCCTATGAAGGCCCAAAGAACAGCATTGTTTTTGGATAAGATGTCACACAATTACTGTCCAGTTCTTTAATGTAAGTAGAGTAACAATGTGAAATGCACTGAAACAGAACAAATGTGACCCTTCCCAAATGAAAAAATACTATAGTATACTATGGTATAAATACTACAGCATTTACTGTAGTGCTTTTCCGGACTTTACTGTAGTATTTACAGTTAACCATAGTATAAATACTGTAGGAAAATAAAACTGTAATATATACTATAGTAATTAATGTAGTGTTTTTGCAGATTGTAGTATACTGTAGTATTTACTGTAGTGTTTTTGCAGACATTACTATACTGTAGTATTTACTGTAGTGTTTTTGCAGACTGTACTATACTGTAGTATTTACTGTAATGTTTTTGCAGACATTACTATACTGTAGTATTTACTACAGTGTTTTTGTTTTATCTTTGACATAGAAGTGGAGGCTTTCTCCTTCAGGAAACTTACTGTCGTGAAGAGGGCACGACAAAGCCTATTCCCCCTCAGGAGACTGAAAAGATTTGGCATGGGTCCTCAGATCCTCAAAAAGTTATACAACTGCACCATCGACAGCATCCTGACTGGTTGCATCACTGCCTGGTATGGCAACTGCTCGGCCTCCGACCGCAAGGCACTACAGAGGGTAGTGCGTACGGCACAGTACATCACTGGGGCTAAGCTTCCTGCCATCCAGGACATCTATACCAGGCGGTGTCAGAGGAAGGCCCTAAAAATTGTCAAAGACTCCAGCTACCCTAGTCATAGACTGTTCTCTCTGGTACCGCACGGCAAGCGGTACCGGAGCACCAAGTCTAGGTCCAAAAGGCTTCTCAACAGCTTCTACCCCCAAGCCATAAGACTCCTGAACAGCTAATCATGGCTACCCGGACTATTTGCACTTCCCCCCCACCCCCACCCCATCCCCCTCTTTTACGCTGCTGCTACTCTGTTTATTATTTTTGCATAGTTACTTTAACTCTACCCACATGTACATATTATCTCAATTACCTCGACTAGCCGGTGCCCCCGCACATTGACTCTGTACCGGTACCCCCTGTATATAGCCTCCCTACTGTTATTTTATTTTACAGCTGCTCTTTAGTTATTTGCTTTAATTTTTTTTACTTAACACTTTTTTTATTTCACTTTTTTATAAAAAAAAAAAACTGCATTGTTGGTTAAAGGCTTGAAGTTTTGGAATGGTCTAGTCCAGACTTAATCCCAATTGAGATTTTGTGGCAGGACTTGAAACGAGCAGTTCATGCTTGAAAACCCACAAATGTAGCTGAGTTACAGCAGTGTCCTTTGGGATGTTCTTTGGGTGGTGGACCATTCTTATACACACGGGAAACTGTTGAGCATGAAAAACCCAGCAGTGTTGAAGTTCTTGACACACTCAAACTGGTGCGCCTGGCACCCACTACCATACCCCGTTCAAAGGCACTTAAATCTTTTGTCTTGCCCATTCACACTCTGAATGGAACACATACAGAATCCATGTCTCAATTGTATCAAGGCTTAAAAATCCTTCTTTAACCTGTCTCCTCCCTTTCATCTACACTGATTGAAGTGAATTTAACAAGTGACATCAATAAGGGATCATAGCGTTCACCTGGATTCACCTGGTCAGTCTATGTCATGGAAAGAGGAGGTGTTCCTAATATTTTGTCCACTCTGGAAAGAGGAGGTGTTCCTAATATTTTGTCCACTCAGTGTATAGTAAACTGTAGTGTTTTCTCCCTTTATCACTGGACAAATTCACCATGGAAGACATGCTCAGGGGGAATTTCAGCATTTAAACAATAGCTCTGTACAGTGTCTGACAAGAGGCTGCTGTGATGGTTGAGGTTTCAGGACATGACAGAGTATTTGTCAGTTACTAAAATGATATCAGTCATGCCATTCTCTGATCACAACTAGGGCTGTGGCGGTCATAAAATTTTGTCGGCCGGTGATTGTCAAGCAAATAACTTACAGTAACTGACAGTTAATTAACATAAACACATTTAGCATTTCCTGGCTTCCACACATAGCCTACAAGCCACTGATGCAGACCTTTGGAACATCTACATTTTAAAAAGTCTGATAAATCCATGTAATATAGCCTACACCATCACAATAAATCCATTACTTATTTTAGACAGCTCTAAAGAAACATGATATGAAGAAAATGCAGTCTATTTCAGAAGAACAGAATAGCATACTCAAGTTGTCCTTATGTTAGGCCCTGATCTGGTTATGCCATATGACTGTGGGCTACACTAGTTCATTTAGCAGACAAGATTTGCTTAGAATTCCATGGCATTATATTATATTATTTTATAGTATGAAGAATACATTTGAAAATAGCTGAATCAAATAGAAAGGATATTTTCTCCAAACGATTTCTGAGGGAGTGTGCACATGCGGCTATTCTGTGTTGCTCGGTTAACAAAGAAACAGGTACTCCTATATGCTTAATTTAGAGTTATTTATGTAACTTCAGTTGTGATACAAACGTTGGGCTATATGTTTTGAAGTTTAATACATTCTAAGGCTGCATGATGCGACTCTAATGATGATTTGAAAAAAGTCGCATGAAAGGCATGAGTTCTGCTTAGTTTTTTGCGCAGGCTGTACACACTTCATCAGTCTCTCATTCACAATTTGACAAGCACTTGATAATGCCTTGAATTTCCTGGCGGCATCCCATTTGTGTAATGCCCCCTAAAAGAATCCATGCCTTTTGTGGCCAGTGGCCGTTGTGGCCTTGGGCTGAATATAATAATAATAATAATAATAATTCCCTTCTCCCGGCTGCATATTCCGAAGCACCTCTCACTCACATGGCTCTCCATCACATGATCGGGTCTTTCTCACAGGCTAAAAGTGAAAACAGACACATCGGGGACGCAACTGCGCGCGTCCTTATCCAATTCCGAGGCGCATATTGAAGATATTGGAAGAACTGTCCACATTTATTTTTCGTCAGCCAACAAGATGAGTAGGCCTAACAAACAGCAAACGCACTAGCCTATGTCAATCTACTTATTCCCATAGTACAAAAGTTGACCTATTCTGTGCGAGAAATAAATATTCCAAACATAGTCTGGGACAGTTGTGGGATGCGATAGATCCCAAATTAATACAACCACTAGCGTCCCAAAAACGTTTTAAATCAATCAGGCTGACGCAACAGATCAGAACGTTTAGCTTAAAATGTTGATAAACTATTAAGCTATTTCTGCCATGTGCAGCAATGCGCACATGGCAGTAGTGTCACGGTTTCGGCCGAGGCTGCTCCTTCTCCTTGTTCGGGCAGGCTTCGGCGGTCGTCGTCTCCGGAGTACTAGCTGCCACCGTTCGATGTTTCTATGTTTGATTGGGGTTGTCTGTTTTGTTACACCTGTTCCTTATTAGTGTTCATTATGCGTCCTATTTAGTTCTCTTGAGTTTGGTCAGGTGTTGTGTGTAATTGTTTTTTGTCACGTTCTGTGCTAGTTCATGTTTTTCAGTTCTCTCTTTATTTTGTGTTTGAGAGAGAGTTCCGCACTTTGTGCGCCTTTTGTTTACTTTACCGTGGTGCGTAAAGTTCGCCTGTTGCCTGTTGCCGTGTGTGGCTTGTTCATTGGACTTCACTAAAGACGTCTGTTCGAAACCTCTGTGTGTCCTGCGCCTGATTCCACACTACCTCTACACTCAACCCTGACAGAATTACACACCAATTCAATGGAATCAGCAGGAGCAACCGCACCCAGTGAAATCATCGAGGAGCGTCTTCGTGGACAGGAGGACAGGGTTAATCAAATCGGACACGCTCTGGATAGAGTTATGAACACCCTCCATCGATGGGAGACCAGCGGGGTACCCACGCCCCCACCTACCACACCATCACCATCGGTCAGTCCGCCTGTCCAACTTCCGGAACCCAGTGGGATTCGGCTCTCGCTCCCGAGGGCGTAAGACGGCACCGCTGCCGGGTGTCAAGGATTCCTGCTGCAAGTTGAACTCTACCTCGCCACCGTACACCCGGCGCCCTCGGGACACGAGAGCGTCTCTGCCCTCATCTCTTGTCTCACCGGCAAGGCGTTGGAGTGGGCCAACGCCGAATGGAGGAGAATAGACGCCGCTACTATCACCTATGCGGAGTTCTCCCGCCGCTTCCGTGCAGTGTTTGACCATCCACCAGAGGGGAAGGTGGCGGGGGAGCGTCTATTCTACCTCGGGCAGGGGATGAGGAGCGCTCAGGAGTTTGCACTGGAGTTCCGGACTCTAGCGGCAGATGCAGGGTGGAATGAGCGGGCTCTCATAGATCACTTCCGCTGCAGCCTCCGGGAGGACGTCCAGAGGGAGTTGGCGTGCAGGGATACCACGCTTTCTTTTGACCAATTGGTTGACATGGCCATTCGGCTGGACACCCTGCTCGCTACCCGTGGACGTCCCGGGTGGGGGTCGCTCATTCCACCCTCCAGCACCTCCGAGCCGAGCCCTATGGAGCTCGGAGGTGCTGGCGCTAGAGAACGGAGGAGAAGGAGCCCGAGGGGGGCCGTCCCCTGCACCAACTGTGGCCGTGGAGGGCACACCGCGGCTAGGTGCTGGGGAGGGTCTCCTGGTGGAAGAGAAGGCAGGCCACACATTGGGGAGTCCTCCCAGGTGAGTAGGCGCCCCACTTACCCAGAGCTTTCTGTCGTACACATAACTATACCTGTTTGTTTTCCACAGGTTGCACCTCGTTCCCAGCATAAGGCACTAGTAGATTCAGGCGCAG